TCATAATTACCATCCCATGAGAATATCCTGTGTATATACTCGTAACAATATTTTCATATCCTTTCTCTTATTACTTTATTACTCTATTACACTATACTATTTTATCCTAATTTTCGAAAGAATTATTATTTATAATAAATAATCTTTAACGAATTTTGTTTAAAAAAAAAAAAATAATGATGACTGGTTATGATACACTGACATGAATTTTATTCCCTATAATATTTTCATAAATATTATCATTTAATAATTATCTAATTATACACATAGTATATTACTTTACTAGCATAAAATAAACGTCTATTTATATTTTCACAAATGAAATTGATTTTGGCAGAGAGAGAGAAAGAGTCAATTAATGTGAAAGGTATTGATAATTATTTCCGATGAAAGAGTACATGATTATGAAGAAAATCGAGTCCATTAAAAATGGAATACGGTAATTAAAATTTATGAATAAAAGGGAGCTTAAAAGAGGCTTTAAATTCTGCTGTGATCAGCGTTTAAATAATAGACGTAATAATCCTCTAATTTATATATACGAATTATATATACATATATATATATACATATACTCGTTTTATTACCTTTCGATTATTCCAATGCAACCGATGCATTATTTTCTTCTTTTCTTTCAGACTTGCAACATACATACACACACAGATACATACGTAGAATAATCTTAACCGATATTATACCAAAACCAAACTTGATAATCGTTCGCTGAAATACACTTATACATACAATGTTCTTTTCTTTTCGTTTTCTGTTTTTAAACATATTTATTGTTAGCATTATCCCAGTGCATACATATATAACACACTAAACTCGCATCTCACATATTTATGCATGCAAAATATCTAGGAAGAAATGTAAGCTTTCAACGAGAAAATACACAACTTCATTGTCAGTGAAAACCACGAAACCACCGATAGAATAAACCATAGTCTCCATAAACGACTCCTAGAGATAATGCTAGACAAAACGCTATTAATCCCGAAAGTACCATAACTCTCTAAACATTATATATGAAATTTCTAAAATATTACGTACACAAGTTAAACATATCGTTCAATATTTTATTCAAAGTTTTAACAAAACCAATATAAGTAATGGAAAAACAATGAATTTAGCAATTAAATCCCATTTGAAAATTGAATACTTTTTTCCGAAAACACTTCATATTTTATTGCTAGTGTGGGTTAGTTTCCTTGTGATTGATTATATATTTAGAAATAAACTTGTTGTAAAAAGAACAAAAAGAAAAGGGGTGAGATGCAGGAAACAATTTCTATAGAGTTTAAAAATGCAATCCGAATTTCTATAAAGCCTCTGACGATTACTTGCATTAAACAGACGAGATTAATTAACTATCATCGTTTCGAACTTTTCTATTTGTAATTATTATCTCGATTTTTTTTATCTATCCCCCCCCCCCCCCTCCTCCTCCCAATAACTTTTTTTATTTATTATTATAGAATCGATCGATCGATTTTCTAGACACTCCTACGTTAAGATTGAAATTAATTAGAAAATTTGTGTATACTTCTTCTTTCACTTAATATCTATCTATCTACCTTATCGATTTTCTAAAACCCTTATTCTCTAGGTCTGATCGAACATTGATTAAACAACCTTTAATAAACTCTAGAACAAGTAGAGATTGGATCGTATATGGATTCTACAGGATAGAAGTTAAACGTTATCTCATGTGTTACCGCACCTATCTTCCCTTTACTAGAGAAAATAGAAGAAACTTTGAGATATTTTAATTTGATTTTTAGTAAAAATGCATTTTTACCTTGTCGTTCAATTTCATTAGTATCGAAGAACGATTATTTCATGTCCGTTTGATTTTTATAAATTGTTAGTATTAAAAAGAAAATAGAAAAAGAAAACTTAAATAATTTCATAGGAATTATTTACAAATATTCTCAAATAAAATAACATTTGTACACATGATTTTATTTAATGAATATTCGACAGAGGAAATCAATCATTTCGTTGTACTTATCGTAAACTTGTTTCTTCCAAATATATTATTAGATTTAAATTATCGATTACTTTTAATATTAATTCGATAATAATCGCAACAAGCTGTTGTTCATATCGATTTATTTTCACGATTCTCACGAATCCTTTTCCCTCTCTCTCTCTTACTCTTTCTGTAATATTAATTACCGATTTGATAGGTCAAAAGGACAAAGTAACTTTTAATAGAGAAGACAAAGATTTAATCAATAGAATGCATTTCTTAGTTTTTACCTTGCATAAAGCAAAAATGAAGTCGATAAATCAGATTGTTTGCAATATCAGCGTAAAATTTTACGATTTTATGTTTCTTTCTTTCTTAGTAAAAATTCGACTTTTTCATTAGACAGATGAATAAAATCTTTGTTGAATTTTCTATTAGGATAAAACTTGTAATTTTTGCAACGTTTTAATAACAAATTGATCGTAATCAAAAAGCCCAATAAATGTGCGTAATTATTATATTAATTAATAAATCATTTATTCAACCAAATGGCTAATTAAATAACATGAATTCTATTTAAACTTTTAATATACTAATCCTTAGATTATTCTTGACTCTCGAGTCAAAAAAAAAAAAAGAACCGAAAGGAAAAAGAAAAAAGTAGTGCGTTGGGGGTGGAAGAAAAAAATCGGATCTCTTTTCTAAAAAAAAAAAAAAAGAACCTTAATTTTTTTTTGTTCTTTTTATAATTAATGATACGTTTCTTTTTTTTTATTTTTCAACTCTCTACAATTAGAGAGTATATAAAGGGATAAAAACCCCCATACATTCCTTCTTATAACCAGCAGCCATTTAAAACGATTTACGACGTAACAAGTGGGGAAACGCCTAGCGATACACCGTACGTTACAATTTAAACTGAATTAATTGTTTAATTAATTGTAGTCAATTACAACGACCAAGACATATTTTATACTTCAGTTGAAACATGAATTTGTCGAAAAAAAAGTCCCAGGCACCCCCCACGTTGAATTCGAAAGGTCGAGAATGAACATTTTTGTACGACGCGTGGCTACGCATAAATCCTTTTAACTATTTTACCGAGTGCCATGTGTTTGTCACGCGAAGTCTAACAAATGAGAAAAACTAATCGAAATTTAACAAAAATAAAAAAAAAATGCAACTGAATCTACGATAGAAAATCGTAACGTAGTATACGAACGACGTATTTAAAACAAAAGAAACTATTCGTAGAAGATATGCTTTTTGTATTATAAATTAAACGAACGCGAATAAAGTATTAAATAATAAATAATATTTAAATAATTATCTTTTAATTTCTATAAATCTCAAATATGCCTTACATATAAATATATTTTTATATGTCAAGAGAGAAAAATATAAGAAAGAGATGAAAAATAAAAGGATATAACTGTAGAATCATAGACTGAAAATAAAAGTAGTTTATTGGTCCGATAGAACGAAAATAGGAGGACATACATCTACTTACACTTACCTCGACTAAATTGGTTGTTACTGGCGATAACCCTCTCGGCATTCTTCCTGGCAATGTAAAACCACTCGCTACTGTTGCTCAAGTACTTATACTCGATCGCCAAGTCCTTAACTAAAACCCCTTCCTGATCCGGTAGCCGATGGGCAAAGGGACAATAAAGCCAATGATCTTTGTATTGTAATTTGTCGTAACAATTACCAGCGGCAAATATGTCTTCGTCGAATTCAACCATAGATAATACGCTAGCGTGTAAAAGATATTCCGATGATAGCATTACTTCAGGTGCATATTTCCATAATCTTGTTAACATGTTGGCACGATTTACGGCAAGATTAGCTTCCAATCGAAACCTTTCTTGAGCGTAACGATCTACGACACCCTCGCCGAGATTTAAATCAGTACCGGCGGTACAATTTTCACCTAGCAAGTGTTGATTCTCGATAATACGAAGAAATCTCGTAACAATGTCTACTTGAACGGATTCCTTTTCGGGATATCGTTTCGTTGGAAGATCATCTTCATCGTCACCATCAATAACGTCACCATCATCATCATCATCATCATCATTTGTTTCAACAACGTCTGTAGTAAAACTCTCGTAGTAATCATTGTCTTTACTTATCGAACTACTGTTATTCCCAATTATTTGACGATCACCCAACGTGTCACCCAATTCTTCTTCTTCTTCTTTTTTGAATTCATTTTCGTTGATATTAACTTTCGAAGATTCTTCTTTGTTCACCGAGGTATGCAAAAGACGACCATAAGCGATGATCGTTTTTTCGGTTGAATCGAATGGATCCTCAATCTTGTGTTTAACCAATCGCGAAGTTTTTTTTCGAAACTTATTCAACAGTATCCCTCCTCCTTCTTCCTCGTGATGATCAACATGAGCAGTTACGTCTGCGTGCTGTCGAAATACTTTACGAATTAGATCATTCAATTGTCTAGTTGATTCGGTCCACGTCTCAGGGGTACCATAATAAGACAATCGATCCTTTTTACTCGTCTCCTCTACGATATTTTCTTTTCCTCCTGGTGACTCGTATCTCTTCGAGTAATCCAAATCTTCATCTTTCTCGATTTCCGTATCACTGTAATTCGATGAAAGGTGTATCCTTTTGGTCCTAATCCTCAACGATTCCAGATCTTCCAATTTGATTTGTCGAACGAAATGACTACGCGATCTTCCATGTCTTATCTGTGGTTTTTCGATACTCGTTTCCAATTCTTTATCAATTTCTTTACTCGATAACAATTCTTTCGATGTAACAGCACGTTTATTTCGATCACCTGATGATGATGTTACTACGAAAACAACGTCATTATTTTCGTTAAGATATTCTCGCGAATTCTTATCAGTTTCTTTTTTATTTATTAATCGTTCATCACGAAGATCCCGATGATATTCTTTTTTCGACATTTCCAATTTTTCGGTTGTCGTAGTCGTAGTAGTCGTTGTATCCCACTTGCAATCGATTAACAAAAATTCGCGCGTAAACGCGAGCAATACTAAAGCGTAACGAAATTTACTGACACTCATCGTTAGACCGATCCCTTCTTCCTTTCTATCATCAGGAACTTTCTTCTTCTTCTTCTTTATTTTTTCTTTCGAAAATCCTTTATTTTCGCGTAGACAAAAATCACGTCATCGTGCGATGATCACTGTTACATACATCACCGCGATTGGCACCATTCATTTTTCAAACGACAAATTTACTTTTATATTATTTTATTTATCATTTAGTCCAAAATTACGAAAGTAAAATTAAAGTTCGAAAAACTAATCGATTGAAAATCTTTGAAAATCTTCCTATACTTGTTTTCTTATCCCTTGGAACGAAATTCCAAGGCCACGAGGCACTGCACCTTCCACTTGGATGATCGCAAAAACGTACCTGTCTTTCTCAATCTCGTCAACGACAACGACGTCGATAACATGACTGATTCTCCCGTTCGTATCACCCTGGAAGATAGAAAAAAAAAAAAAGAAAAAAGACCCTTCCTTGTGAGATATTATTATAATCGAAGATCGAACGAAACAATAAAATAGAGGTGGACCCGCGTTTTCAAATAATCAACTAAAAACGTACTTTTTTTCGCGCAAATCGAATTTTCTTAATAGTTGCAAGCTGTTCTTGTCGATAGTTGTTGTGGCGTTTGATCGACCGAGCGCATAGTTCATTGATTTTCTACGATCTTCGTTGCCTTAAAGTGCATATATCGATAAAAGGAAGAGAAAGAGAGAGAGAGAGAGATGGATAGATAGATAGACAGATCAAAAGTAAGTATTAAAAATAAAAAAAAAACAAATGATCGATGTGAGATCACTTCAAACTTCCAAACGATATTCATCGATACCGTATTTATTTTATTCTTACTGTCTCTTTTTTTTCTTTCCCCTAATTCTCGATAATTGAATATACTTTTCTTTTTTAGAAGAAGAAGAAGAAGAAGAAGAAGAAATAATATTAAATGTCATTAAAGATTATAAAATATAGAAAATAGAAATAGATGAACTAGGGGTACAAGGGGGAGTTGTAATTTTGTTTGTTTTACATTATGGTAACGAAAAATAATAATAAACTAATTACTGATATAATATATAATAAAAAAGTCATAAATTTATTTCTAATTGTATAGCGTAATTCTGTTCAATAGTTTTTTATTATTTCAGCCCTTATTATTTAGTCTATCGGGTTTGGTGCGATCGGTGTGAAAAAGAGCACGCGTTTAAAATTGGATTAAGGGGGTGGGTGGTGACGAAAAAATAATGATAAGGGAAATAAAATAACGTGTGGGCGACCGTGAGTTTAGGAATGTTAGTTACGAAAATGCGTATGAGGAAATGAACCACCGTGCTCTCTCATCTTGTCACGCTCGCACGCGGCGTTCAACTGAGGGATGAAAACTGGATTTCCAACCCCTACTACAGTGAGAACCCCGTTGCAATAAGAAAGGGAAACGCACCCTTCTAGAGCGCATGTCTCCTGTCTCTCTCACTCCTCCTCCTCCTCCTCGTCGTCACACCTCGCAAAACACATACCCACACACACACACACACACGTAAAAAAATGACAAACACTAATCCTTCTGTGTCCGATTTTCTTCAAAGAATACAAATCAAAATATTGCTCATATTTTCTCTTAGCGATTATTTTAAAAGCCAACGTGACCCGGAATTATTCTACAAAATTCAATTCGAGTTAGTTCATTCCATTCGAATAGTAGTATTGCAAATATAATATAAGTCGATGAACTTTGGAAACACGAAATAAATCGAATTTATTATTTTTCCATTTATCATTTAATTTTTGTTGTTGATTGTTGAGAGAGAATTTGTTGCATGGCGTGGACGAAATTCTAAATGAAATTAGCGAATTTCAACCACGTTGAAATGTGGTCCATGCTGCTTATGAAATGTATCTCGATAATTTATCATATGTTCTGATTATATACGTTCACTGCAAGAGACAAGTACAACAGTATTGAATTATCTCATTGTCCTGGAGTATATCTTCTCTTTAAAATGATCTCCTCCCTATGTGGCTTTGTGTCTCGCCCTAATTACGGCGTATTATGTATAAGGACAACACACGTGAGACTGTGAACAACTTTAATTGTTCTGTACCCCCACGTGCATATCTCTCTGTCATTTTCACTTTATTAAAAGGATACGTTCTACTGTTTTATTTTTTTTTTTTGTTAGCGTTTTATATTTAGCGCATCCTTTCTAATTAATCCGAGAAGAATTACGTCTCTTACGATTTCACTTGTCACACATATTATCTAAGCTGATTATTTTTTGCGCGATGTTAAATAAAAAATTTATTAAAAAAAAAAAAGAAAAGATATATCTCCTTTCAAAAACGTATTCAATGTCGTCGGAGCTTCCATTGTAATGCAAAAAGAAAAAAATATATATATATAAAAGACACTATTTAATAAACACAAGAAGATGCATAAAACGATTAGAACGTCAATGAACTGGGCACCGTAATGCTGCAACGTGCATTGTGCAAGAATTAATTCGACATAGCCTTTGTCTTATCGTTGATCTTAAAATTTCAATAAATTCATGAGAGAGGAAGAAAAGGAAATAAAAGGAAAGGAAAAAGGGGGGGATAGAGTTTATTTTATTTTTATTTTAGTTGATAAAATCTCTCAATAAACATCAAGGTTCTCACGTACGAATCGAACATATAACTCGCGAAGCTTTTAATCGTTGTCAGGAGATAAAGATCGTTACACTAATCGTACTCCTAATCACGGTATTCCTCGACTCGTTTGCATTCCGAGTGCTACATTACGTAAGCCCTTTGTCCTTTATGCTACACCAGCCGAATAAATGAGTAGGTGAGAAATTCGATGACCTTGCCGAGCGCACGTGAAACTATTTCAAGTTGCTCGTTTAAAATGGATTTCAAAATGAGAACATATTTATCGTTCGAAATAAATCATTTATGATTTAAAATTATTTAGGCTTATCCTTCTCGAAGTTAGTTCTCAATCGTTCAACATAAATACGATTAGCTATTGAAACCTGTTGGAATTGTTATCTAATATTTTTCTAACTATGAATTAAAGAAAACGAGGAAAGAGTAAATTATTTCAAGATCGATATATTTATTTCATTTATTTGACGCACAAAGAACGCTCCATTTTAAATTTACTGAGCGGTTTTTTCTTCTTCTCCTTAATAATTTCATCGTTCTTTTTCTTAGGCGTTGCTAATTCCGTCTCGCTAATGTTCTTCACGATCTAAGATTTTAATAAAATGAAAATAAATATTAATATTATTATTCTTTGGTGATATATTAATTGAATTTGCAAAAGTAAAATCTTTTACTTACGCAATGGTAAGCGGAAGGTTTAACGCCTGCACTTTCTTTTTCTTCTTCTTCTTCCTCTTCCTCCCCTGAACTATATGTAGGTAAAGAAATATTTTGCAAAGGCATTACATCGTTCGGCGATCTTTTCAATATCGATTTTGGTTTTGAAAATATATCGTATATATCTCTAGGCGACGTTATTTCATTCCCTGTCGATTCTGGTAGAGAGAAATTATTGTCCGTATGTTTAAATTCTATTCTAATAATATCATCATCGCTATTATTTGCAGAATCGCTTGGATCGTCATTCGACGACACTGTACTTTGTTTATCTTGATTTTTAACAGAAATTAATTCACTATTACCATCGAATATCGAAATATCTGGTTCGGCAAACGATACTCTTCTTTTCTTTTCCTTTAATTTGATTTTCTCTCCACTTACATCGCTCGTAATTCTTGATTGAGCAACAACCTTAATTGATTCGTTTTCATCGTTACAATTACTACAGGAACTCTCGTCAATAGTTTTCAACAAAGTTTTCTCATCTACTTTTTCAGTTTTCGTTATATTACTTTCAGATATTTCCTTGTTTGTATTTACAATATTATTTATAATATTAAATTCCGTCGACTGTCCGTTCATTTTTCTACCCATTTGAATTTCTCGTAATTTATTCAATTCTTTTTCTATTTCTTCATAATCATCTTGATCCTCGGAATTTTCGCCATCTTCTTCTTCTTCTTCATATAATTCGTTATGTTCTTCTTCGTCCAATTCATTGTATTCTTCTTCTTCTTCTTCCAATTCTTCCTCATAATAATCTTCATCTTCATCCTCCAACCTGTCGAATATTAAAAATATAAAAATATTAATTAAATCTGTAAAACAAATATCAGAACTTTCAATTAATATAATAAAGTAAATTAGAAAGATAGAAACCTATTCAATTCATCATCTAATTCTTCTTGAAGTTCCAACTCGTCTAATCTTTTAAAAAGATCTTCTTCTGTTCTAATTTCAGTCTTTTCTTTTTTCCTTAACTCCGACAACTTTTGGTGATACTCTTTTTCTCGTCGTCTGTGTTCAACTATAAACAAGTACAACTTGAATACACAGATATTACTTAAGATAAATTAATATTTAATTTTTTAAATAGTCACCTCTCCAATCATCTAATTTTTTCTCGTCCCAGTATGCCGTAAAATCTTTCTTTTCGTTTTTACCGAAAACATCCAACTCCGAACAAACAAATTGTCTCATTTCGTATAAATTTCTTTCCTTTTCTAAATTCGTCAGCATCTCGTCCGTAGCTAAAATAAAAATAAATTGTTATAAATGTTAATAATAAAATACTATGCGTAATGTATATACTTACATTGAATTCTACGATTGCATAGAGCTATTGCTTTAGCAGCACTATACTTTGCAAAATAACCATCTCCGATGCAAGCCAAGACTTCATTAGTGTGTATCAACTTCCCTTTCATAAATGCACGCTTACCAATAGGTACCATACAATTGATTGATAACTCTAAAGGTAATTTTTCCAGCGCTTCTATAACTTTCTTATGTCTTTTCTTATAATCTGACCATACTTTAAATTGTTCTTCATTTCTTTGAATTCCCTATAATATTAAATTGTTAAATACAATCATAAAATCATATACAAAAATATATCACCGTGTATAAGTAAAGTCAGAATATTTTAACAGAATTATTGCAAGGAAACTAATTAATAATACCTGTTTTAATGCTTTATTTAGAATAATTTCCTGACATGCTTTTAATGAATTAAAATTGTCACTTGAAAGATCCATTGAAACATTCGTTCCGTTCATGTTGATCAATTCAATGATATATTAGCATACCAGTTAAGACGTATAGGTTATTTAACCTAGAATTTATTTTTTAATAAGAAACGTGACGTATTATTAACTATAAATTTGTAATTAACAATGACATGATTACGTTTCAATCAAATATGAAATTTATAATTTTATAATAACACATTAAATAAACTGTGCACATATACATTCACAAACAATAACACTAATGTGTTTCCATTCTTGGTGCTTTTTTTACGTGCATCACAGACCGTACGAACGCAGGCAAGGAACCTTAACAGCAGAAAAAAATGAATAAGTGCTCTTAATTGCACATTAATTGCACATTTCAAATCTATAATTGCACACTTTATCAATTCATTATTTAATTAGTTCTAGCTCCAATATAATATCGATTTTTTTTTAATCTAGTAAGTCTTTTTCTCTCTGTACCTGTTTCGAGACAATCGTTCTTAACGAGTAAAAAACTCCTTTAATTAATAATTAAAACAAAATATCTATATTAGATTTCTATATAGATGTATCTATAATTCAAACCAGGTAAATTATTTTATATAAATTTCTAATATTTGTTTTTTTATAAAATTTAATTATGTATATATAAAATGAAAAGATATAAAATAATTAATTTTAAAAAAGATACATCATATGATTGAATGTCGTTTGATATTTAGAAAAGTTATTATAATAATTTATTATTTAAAAAAATATCATCTCTCTCTCTGTGTAAATAAGATGTTTACAATGATTTGTTCATTAATTAGTTTACTTATATACCGTATGCGATAACAATCACACGCGTTAAAATACATTAAAATATTTTCATTTGTTTTCATAATATAATTTTCAAAATATAATGGATTATTCGTAATGGTAGTAAATAAAATAATTCAATTACATTTATCAAATTGCATGATTCAAATTATCACATAAGAAATAATTTAATTATAATAAATAAATCTATCATTTTAATCAAAGATATATATACAGGTTTTCCACTCCAAATTCATCCATCTGCAAATGTCTTTTTGACAATGATTAAATTTGGAGTGCTACTCCTGCAACATAGAAATTCAAAACTAATTGTATTATTAACAAAAATGTATGTCCACATGTATAATTGTCTTTTTCCAGGTACTGCTAGATTACCATACAAAATTTCATTGTTTTATGCATTGCTTATAATGAAATAACAATTAAATTAAAAATGCATTACTATCCCCCTAAACCTATATTAAATATTCTTTTTGTTCATTAAACTTTGATTAGAAATTAAATAATTATTACAGTGATGCACAATAGTATTGAAATAATATAAAATATTAATATTATCTTCAGTTTTAGATCTTCAAATAATATTTTTTTGTAATTGCATCTAGAGTTTCTTTTAATATCAATTTTTCAAATTCGAGAAATGTTATGTACATATATTGTTTAACAACGGAAGGTGCTTATTATTCGTACACCTATCAAAAAATCTTCGTTTTTGTAACTGTACAAAAAATTAAATAAGAAAAATTTATGATATTTACGAGCATAATGAATGGTATCAGTGTAGTATAAAATATGAGCTCTATGTCAATGGTGGTGTCCGGTTGTAAGTAATGACGGTAAAATAGAACCAACTACTAGCACTAATATTTCTTTAAATCTAAGTCCAGAGACAGTTGGTGTCGTAGTTTCAGTTGTTGGTAGACGAGAATAATTAGCTTCTCTAGTCATTAATTCTGGTAATACATGTACAGTAGCTACGTACAAAAATGTTCCTGCACTGAACAACATTGCTAATCCTGTTGCATTGACATTACTGAGGGTTTCCTTGCCTTCCTAAAATATTCAAAGAACATAATTTCATTTACTCGCATAAAAATATAATATGAAAATTGAAAGGTAAATTTTTTTACTTTTCCAATGCCGAAATATGTTAGAAGAGCAAGACAAGGTGCAGAAAGAGAAAATACTAGTAAATGTTTTCCTATTTTCTTTTTTTCCACCCCTTCGTGAAGTAAAAAAGATACTAGGCCAAATGCAGCAGGTGCCTGTAATAGAAAAAATATTTTGTTATACGTATATCTAATTAAGTACAATTTGTCTTTATCTTACTTTATGCAGCATAATTGCAAGGAATACGATGACTTCTACATCGGCTTGCGAGGTTGTTGCTGCAGCACCCAATGCAACTCCATCAGCAGCTGCATGAACAACAAGGCCTAAGGTTGCTGTAAAACTTTTCTCCTTTCCTCCACTTCTTCTTGTACATTGATCGACCAAAAGCATAAATACGAAACCAAGTACTAAACTAATTCCTATCAAAAAATGTAGGTCACCTGTAAAAAGCATAAGGCGAGTGTTTAATCTTGCAAATTTCATTGGAATATGTGTTCTAAAAATATAAAAATAAAGTTACATAGAAGCTTACTATCATTTTGTGGATGATCTATGCTGCCAGCAGGCGTTGTAAATAATGCTCTAATACCTTCTGGTATTATTACAGCCAATGCAGTTCCAACAAGAAGCCCAGCTCCAAGTACAGATACTAATTGCAGTTTATCCTAAAAGTAAGTAAACTCTTTGTAATATATGATTTCAATATATTTTAAATAAGCAAACAATCGAAAGCTAATAGTGATTTTACAAATCATCCCAGATAAAGTAATGAAAATAATTTAAATCAACGAATAATCTTACCTCCGATAAATTCATAATCAATGGTAAAAAACCGGCCAAATACGAGCCACCCAGCATAACTAAAGAGAGCCATATTATCGAGCTCTCTGACATTTTAAAAAACGTTTATGCAAAAAAACAATCGGTTTAATTAATATTTACACATTACAATGAGTATATAAATTACATTCGTATTTTGTGTAAATGTTTTTGAAATGTTAACCACTTAAGTTATACCATGCTGGTTAATGACAGCTTATGCCGCTTATTTTAATCCGTTTCCGTCTACGTAGCACCACCGTTCGAGGAAAGTAGGTAAAGTGGTTAAAAGAATTATTTTGTAATTTATTAATTGAGAGAAATATTCATATATGTGCACTATGTCTTTTATACATATAAAGAAAATAATGTTAAAAAAGGGCAGTTAAATATAACGCCCACGCAGAAATTACTAGTTACTAATATTAGGGACATTTGTAACAGAAATATGTAACATCTGACATCGCGAAACGAGATCTGTAATAACTACCAATAGTAGGTGCGCACTAGTCGTTTTTATAGGTTATGTTTCATCTTCGTCTATAACGCGCGAATTTTGTATCGAAATATCGAAATTCAAACGAATTAATATCTGAATCGATTATTTCGAAAACACTTTTTTAACAAAAAATCAAATTAATTATAATATTAATTACAATTTAACGGGATCTTCTTTGATTTTACAAAAAAGATTTCCAATTAATATATTTAAAACTATAGGAATTTCGTTAAGAGAAGTCTTGCTAATTTTATAATATAATAAAAATGTTTAATTTATAAATGGCATAAGTCATTGCATTTTACTATTATTTTGGATAATAAAAAAATAATATATTTCCTTATATTTCGCGCGTAATTAAGAATTTTTATGGGAAGTAGTGGAAAAGGATAAAATAAAAAATAATAGTATATTTTTGTTTTTTTTTTTTAAATAGATATTAATTTATTATTATTTTATAATATACTTAGGATCACACACATTTACAATGCATATGCAAGTTCGTTCGATGCAATATATATATATATATATGTTTATATATTTATATCACTGTAACAAAGTGTACGAAAATTAGCGGGATCGCATTAATTATATTAGAAGGTGCACGTACATAAACATGAAGATAATGCGAAAAGATTGTATTGTGATTTCGCAACGCTGATGTGCAGAAAAATAATACGAGAAAGTTGCAATCGTGAAAACACACGTGTGTTGCTAAGGAAATTAGGATCGACAAATGCAAGCTTGGCGAAATTATCGTGCACGGGAGCATTAAATATATATATATATATATAAAAAAAGTACGATCACGTTATGTTTGAACCATGACGAACTAGCAAAGCGTAGCGCAGTTAATCATTGAGCAGGTATTAAGATTAAAAACAAAAAAAAAAAAAGGGAATTAATGATCTCGGTGTCCTCTGATATTTAGACGAAAGCGTCTAAAGGTTTCTCGGATGCGCCTTATTCGAGAGTCTTGATCGATAGTTTTATAACCCGGAATCGAAGTGAAAGTAACGTTCCATAAAGATTTGCAAGTAAAATTAATGATACAAGTTGTTAACCAGTTGCCAGGAACCAATTATTCGCGGCACTATTACGATTTATTTCGCCATTATCTGATGGCTATGATGCTGTTTTACTAATTAGAAATCGGGCGTGATTAAGAGAAGAGAATGAAGAGAGAGAAAGAGAGAGAGATAGAGAGAGAGACAGAATAAAGAGAGCTCAAAATGTGTTATTCGCTTTCGAATAATATGATACAAATAAAATAAAATAAAATAAAATAATATATAAAAAAGGTAGAATTAAAAAAAAAAACGAATATTAAGAGAAGGTAATCGTTGAATTAAGCTTTTGCCGTTGTCGTTTCTGCCGTTTTTTCGACTTCAAGGATTTCCGTAGGTGGTGCCAAAGTTGGAATCTCAGGGTATTCTAATTTAGCTCCATCCTCGCATTCGAAAATCGGACAACAGTCTGGGAAGCTGGCGGTCTTGTTGGTCTTATCGGAAAGTTTGCATTTTGGATTGGCCTTGGGTAATGGTCCGCAATCTTCTACCAATTCGAAAAGACGACCGGAATTGTCATCGGCTGGTACGCAAGTTGATCTACCACAAAACGGTGAAAGCTCCCAAGTTTTAGTTGGTTCGATGGTAGCGCATCTGGTTGAAGCGAAACACATGCCGGGAAAATCTGAAACGATAACGAAAAAAAAACAAACCACGATGTTAATCATTTCAATTAGAATACTTCTTCAGTTTGTTTCTCTTTCTCTCTCTCTTGTGTTTTTTTTTCCTTTTTTTTTTTTTTCTTCATAAATTAAACAATCGTCGGATATAAATCTCTCAGGAATAGGATAATTATATCTAATATTTTCCCACGTAATAGTAATGAGTCATATAAGATCATATTATCGAATTGCAGGTTCGAGACGAATCGTAGGTATAATTCTATTGTCATCATCATCGGAGTACCTTCACCCATTGTATGCACAACTTGAGGTTTGTGTTTCGTCGCTACGATGGTGATCGCGGTAGAAACTTCAAGGAGAAACACTTTCACTGTCATACACCGGAATACCGTTTATGCAACAGCCTAACATCGATGACAATGATAATATCTACGACACAATGGCAACAACGACGAACCCATCAAAGCTTTAAAGTCTACGAGTATTAGAGAACTAACTCTGAGTCACTGTCGTTTCTACAATTATGTACATACTAAATACATTTACTAACTACGTATCTCGACTTTAACTTAAATAATCTTAAGACTTGCTCCACTTATCCGTGGACTATCCATAAAACGAAGGTCTCAAAGGTAAAACATTTAACGCCAACGTTAAATCAATCGTGAAATGGTGATACAGATACATACATCTTGTAATACACCTTGGATACTGAGATTAAATCCATTTATGCGTTTGTAATGTGCAAATAGTTACATATGTGTATGCGTGTGTGCCTACTTTACAAGGTCTTGCTTTCAAATAGAATCGTATTTATTTGTACACGCAATATATAATATATAAGATATTAACAAAACGTAATTATAATTTAATGATTAATACGTTGCAGATAAATAACGTGAAAAATTATTCTGAAGATGTTATAATAGATTTATTTCTCTTGTTTTTTTCTTTTTTTTTTATTCATTTTTATTATACTTTCATTTTATAACGACTCGAGATCTCGATTGAATCTCAAACGAAGTTAAGGAGGAACGATTTCTTGTCAGATTAAATACGATCTTGAACGTATATTTTAAGAGCAGGTTTTCCGAAGCAGTTTCTCTCTGTATGAGAGTAAGAAGAAAGTGAATATCCTTCTAAGAGTCTAGTCTAGCATCTCCAATTTCTCGCTTTCTTGTCGGCATATGTTCCACGTATGTATTTTGATCGTCGATTGCAAACTAGAGACCAACTGGGGTATTCAGTTAACAAGGTAATGCTAGACTCGTGTTTTCTAGATTTCATTTATGTGTCTGCTTTAGTGTCATAGTAAGTTTCTAAAGTAAACGCAATCGTTGAACGATTTGTTTGATAAAAAAAGGACGATACAAATTAGACAAAATTCACGGAAGGATATTGGCCGTTCTTCTTCTTCTTCTTCTTTTTCTTTTTCTTTTTCTTCTTTGGTCTTATTTCGAAATAACTGTTCAACGGTTCTCTTTCTCGTAGAGTACCGTTATATTCGTTGCCAAGCTAAAACGTTCATTGTCCTCGAGGAAAGGAAAAATATCTTGTTAGATAAGATCGAACGTTGACCTAATTTTCTTGTCTTCAAAAGTATCCAAAATTCATCGTACCGGCAATGCAACGCGTAATAAACAATAATATAAAATAAAATAAGAAAGATAAGAAAATAACGCTTCGAAGAATATGTGTCAGGAATATCGCAAGTTTAAAGAAAAAGAAAAAAAAAACGCAATACCGTAATTAGTATGTGCAGCGATCGTAGTGTACTTACAGCCTTCTAAGATTCTGTAATAGATCTTATGATAGTAATAGGCTAGGCGAATCACACTTTCCTACGGACTACTACCGTTTGTTTACGTAATTCTTACAATTAGATGCCATACAACTTTCGAAGTAAAATTCCTATAAAGGATTATGTTAATTTAAACGATACATATATATATATAAAAAAAACGATCTGAAATACGCGTTTATCCCTGAACTTAAGTTCGCCATTGGTTAATGGTAGTAACGAGGTCATTGTCGGTAATTCAAGTATTCCTGGGAATCTGGGACTAGAGCAAACGCATAACGGGTATCGAGGTCGTATCAATTAAAAGTTATGCGTTAAGAGTCCCTCAGTTTGAGCTAAATATCTTATTTCATTCGGATGAACGATTGAAAAAAGAATAAGTTGTTTCTTGGAATACAATGTTATTAACACCTAGGATATAATGAATGGATTGATCATTCATTTTCCCCGTATTATAGGCACAATAGAAGTTAAGAATTAATACGTGAGAATTCCTCGAACGTATATTATAATAATCATTTTGTTTTTTTTTTTTTTTTTAGAAATCACGAAGAAAATGAAATTAAATGATTTTCAACGAGATCTGTTACAGGAAGATCGTGTGTAACGATAGTTGTTACACCACTGTACACTTTCTCGCGAATTTATATACGTTTCTACTACCGCGGTATATTGTTTCCTGTCTTTCTTTTTCTCTCGTTGGACATACGAAAGTACTACTATGAAATTTATGTTACTGGTAAATACTTTTTTAACATACGACTATCATATTTTATTTTATAGACTACGTGTGCAAGCATATAACAAACAACACGTCGTATTGCAGGCCAACTATTGCAAACTATTTTGCTGATGTGGCCATTCGGAATGTCGTGGAACAGAGAGACCTTTTGCGAATCGAGAAGAAACCGAGTCTCGTCGCTTTCATTTGCACTTTCTGATTCCCTCCTTGTATATCGGAACCTTTTACTCCTACGGATACGGACACGTCATTCTTCTTGATATTTTTTTTTTCTCTCTTATTTCTTTTTTAATTTTTCTTTTTTACTTTCTGTCTCTGATACAAATACGTTTAATAAAATGACATAGATTTTATTTGAGAAGAAAAAAAACGTAGGAAGGACGTTAACTTGATGACAATGAGAGATGCAAATTTATAATCAATACGTATTCCATATGACATAATTATGATAATTCTGATGATTGAACGTACGTGTCAAGATCTAAGATATTTCTTCTCTCTACAAGTTTTATATATTTGTTACATATATACATATATATATATATATATATATATATATATTTAATTGTAGCTTCCGTAATATTGCATTATTCGATTACTTCAGAATATAATTTTCCTTTCTGTCTTTCTTTCGTTTTTTTTTCTTGCCGATATTAATCTGTTTTCATTTTAGTATCCACGTAATCACGTGCGTTACGAGTGAAGGTGGAGATCCGTAATTAAAAACAATTTCCTTCCCGATCGATCAGATTGAAATTATAATTTTGTTAATAACGAGTCTTAAGTAAATAATCCCTTTTAATTTACGATCGAAGCAATCATTTTCGTTGATTAACGTGTCGGAGTAATAATAAATAATCGTCCGATAATTTCAAATATAATTTCGCGAAGTGGAATAAAATAAAATAAAATAAAATAAAATAAAATAAAAAAAAAATATGAAAATATCGAAAAATTGTATTACACTTTAACGGCGAGAAATTATTTTGGAAAGTTATCGAGTCATCGAGGATAATACAATCGAGATATTAAATCTCGATCCTTCGAAGTTTCTCTTTCCGACATTCGGACTCGTTAAACTACTCCGAACGAATATCGGATGCATATCTGTGGTTTTAAAAGGAGACCCGAGATTGTCCTACTTAGCATGTGTGTGTGTGTTTTTTTTTTATTCTTTATTTTAATCCGGTATGCTAATTTCGAAAAGGATTATTAATTTATTTGTTTTTTTTGTTCACAGAGAATACAAATACATAATATATATGCGTAATTCGAAAATCAATTTTATATTTATCAAAAATATATATATATATATATATATTTCTTTTTCTCTTTTACCAAAAACAGGATTCATCGATTGACGTTCCGATCTTTTCTTTATTTACGAGCGTACAACAAACGACCTTAATATGTGTTGCCTTTCACTGAACAACATTGGTTCTGACTTGATCGGTTCTGCTATTTTTTTTTTCTTTTTTTTTTTTCTACGCGGTGTGAAAAAAATAGCCATCAATCGAACGAATTTCGTACGATCGATCTCGATGTGAAACCAAAAAAAAAACAACACACACGATACCAATCAAAAGTATCGAATTTTTCTATATACGTTAAGATCAACATAGATCAATTTTTCTATTTTTATATTCATTAATTATTCTCGTGAGATACTTACGTGAAACATATTTTTCATAATAGACAAAAATCAAGAAAAAAAGTCGATTGATTGTCATCTTAATACTTACTCATACATTCACGCATATATACGCATGTGTGTCACATTTATAAATTTGTTATCGTTTAAAAAAAACAAGAATAAATTCGTATAAGAATATGAACATATATATATAATTTTCGTGATAAATTGTAATAAAAATAAAATAAATCGCGTTCCTGTTTAACTCACCACGAAGAACATCGGCCGGTATGAGCCTTCTGAAGGTTTTAGGCCGTTCCGGTTCTTTTTTGTCGTCTTCGGATGCAGCGAGAACGACCGCAACGGTAACGCAGAAGATTGCTACGAGCTTCATCGTTATGGATATCAAACGAATGTGCAAATTAAATCCTCGAGGATAGAGTAAATGGTTGTTGTTGTTGTTGTTGTTGATGATGATTAAAAAAAAGGGCTTTAGTGTTCCGATGAAGACTGGTTGGGTCCGAAGCACTTACCGTCAATTTATAGCCACGTTCACCGCGGGCGAGGCTCCCTACTCGAGGGTCCCCTCCAACTTCTCATGGTCTCTCACCTCTTGAACCACCAGTCACCAAAGAATCCTCGTCTTCGTTCACATTCGTAGCCCGTGTTGCACTCGAGAACGTCTGACGCACCCACTATATCCCTCAGTGGGACAGTTACTATGCGTAAGCGTACACGGAATTATATAGTAGGTATAAATGACGAATAATGGATCTTGCACCATTCGGTTTGTTCCCTTTTTTTTCTTTTCTTCTCTTTCATTTTATTTTCTATTTCTGTTAATCGTCGAGCGGTATTATTAAGTCATTAAATTACACCCTAATCCATCTTAAGATTATTTTTATTAAAACGTCAGATTATCGTTACAACGTCTCTCGAAAAAGAGAATATTTACAACACGAGAATAATAAGAAAATAAATATCATCATCTATCGTGAATCGACGTATTATGATATTGCAACATTTAATATAGGGGTATAGAGGTAAAATAATAAAAGTATACTTGGTTTTCGGGTTTGCAAGACTCGTTTATGAGAAATTAATTTGTAGAATATCTTTCAGGTATTCGTTCTATCAAAGGTGTTTATCCCTTTTTATTATTGAGAATAATCGTGATTGTAGTTTAATGGAAGGTAAGCTCGAACTCGGATTTCTTCGGGTATTGGTCCATCGGTGGACAGACGGGGACGTGGAGGTTAAACCCTCGAGCTAGCTTCGCTCTCGGCTTCGGCTGCGGCTTCGGCAGCGCTGCTGGCACGGTTGGATGAAATCCTGTCGCTTCCGGAGTTGCTGCTGGAACTACTGCTGCTGCTGGCAGCTGCAGATGCGGATACGGAGGCACTACTGCTGGAGGAAGAGGAAGAGGAAGATGAGGCGGAATCCAACTCCGACGCTCTAAGTGCTCGGACATCAGCGTTGGCGTAAGCGGCTGCTTTGGCGGTGGCTGCTGCGGAAGATGCGAGAGCCATGGTCTCGGCTGCGGCTGATGCACCGGCTTGAGCCACGCCAGCTTGGCGGGTGTTTCGACTGGAAGCGGCGGCTTCGGCTTGAGCAACGGAGCGCGCTGCTGCAGCCACGGCGGCACCTGCTTCAGCTTCGGCGCGGGCCTTAGCCGCGGCCGCAGCTGCTGCAACAGCCTCCGCCTGGGCGGCAACAGCCCTGGCGGCCTTGGCCTTGGCATCGGCTATAGCATTAAGGGCCTTGGAAGCCTTGCTTTCGGCTTCAACCGCGGCTGCTGCGCTCGCGGCTGCGTCTCTGTTCGAGGACTCCGAACGCTCGGTGGCGCGAGCTTGCGCTTGTGCCGAATTCTGGGCCAGCAACAAGACTTTCTCCGCTGATGCTTTGGCCGCCGAGGCGCTGGTCTCAGCCCTGGCCGTGGCTCTAGCCGCATTTTGGGACGCGTCGGCTGAAGCACGCGCTAAAGCCGCTGCGTTTTCTTGAGATGCAGCCGCGGCTGTCGCCGCTGCTGCTGCCTGGGCCGCCAGCTGACTAGCTTTGTTATTGCCATTGCTCGAAACGTTGGCTTCTTCCGCGGCCGCTGCTTGTGCTTGGGCAGACGCCTGACCTAATCCCAAGGTGTCCGCGAGTAATTCCGCGGATGCCGCGGCCGTACTCGCCGCCCCGGTACCTACGAGGGCTCCCTCAATGGCAATACCCCTCCTCGATTCGCTAGACGAGGACGAGCTTGCACTAGCACTTGCACTAGCACTTGCACTAGCACCAGCGCTACTACCGCTGTCCCCGACCGATTGTCCTACTCCGGATGATGATGATGATTCCGCTGCGGCTTGAGCTGAGGATTCCGCTTCCGCGTCTATGTCCTCTATTGCCAATGATCTGTTGACATGGGCACCGAGTATGCAGGCTCCCAGCAGGAGCGTCGACACGAGCGTTGAGAGATTCTTCATCTTCGTTGGATCTTCGTCGATTGATGCATCTACTCCATAGCTCCTCCATTTTATACCGTATCGCACAACTGTCCAAACATTAAACATTCCCCGCTTTATCCCGTACTTTAATGCTTTTACATTATCTGTTTGATATGCGAATCCGCGACACCCATGCTTCGAACTTCTCGGTGTCGTCTCCGCCAACATGCGTTTCTTACATTTTTTTGGAAATATTTTGTGTAAATATTAGATTATTATACTTTTCTCGTTATCGCAAGAGGCCTCTAATTCTTTGTCTTTCAGAAATTTGACATGAACATTATAAATCAATAGTCATAAGTGACTATCGGGCTTAGATTTATTGTTGGATATTTGGAGAATTAATTCTATAATATTTTCTTGTTTTCGTACAGAAAACATCTAATGCACGCATCGAACGTGGCTTATGCAAATCTGGAGGACTGTTGTTCTTGATCAATACAGTCGATTTTTATCTTTTGTTTGTGTTATGTTAAAGTAGTCGAACACTTAAAACATCATAGACTCTCGAATCAATAATATTGAAATATAAAACAGATATTGTTATGACAATAGTATCTATGTTGTTCATAGGGTGTTGTTTTCTGAAATAACAAAAGCTGTTGCGTTTATTATTTTTCAAAGCATCATTTATTGAAACAACAATTCGTGTCAGTTTTATAGCATATTCAGAGTATTCGTGACAAATATTTGAACAAATCTGGTTGGTTATTGTTACGATTTTGCTATGCAGTTTTATGCAAAACTTGTTGCATTAAAATACATTGAACAATCTATGAATTTCAAGATTTTCGTGTTAGATTCTATACAATTGACTAAGATAGGAGTCGATATAATATTCGATATCCTTAAATCGATACTTTATTAATTGCATGAACAATCGTTGCAACGTTTGAAGGAGAGAATCAAGACTTCGAGATCTTCTTTTAAAGCAACTTGAATCGAAATCAAAGTGCAGATGCAACAATCCACATTTAGGTCAATTAATAATTATTTTCAAATTGTGCGAACCATACGAAGTATGAAACTTATTTTTAGTTATAATCTCCTAGCAAATAAACGCAATAAATATTTCAAATTAATTTTTTGATATTCGCAAAACAGTTTTATTGTATAAAACATACCGACAAAGACAATTTCTTTGACCAAGATTTAAGCCCCCAATTTTTACATGTCGTTAATCTTATATCGATTAATCAAAATTGCAATCTTTTGTTATAGAAAATAAAGACAAAACAAATAGCTTATTTTACAATATATTTATTTTTGTAATGAATATAATATTAATTAATATTAATTGTCTGTTCGCATAAAAGGTACTTGTTCATTTGAAACAATTGGAGGAATTTTTAAAGGAAAATACAACGAAATCGATTGAAAAGCATGTTACTCTTTATTATTAATTTTGGAATGACAAAAATTCAGTTAGCTTTTTTTTTTTTCATTTCTGCAAATGATCGAGATCTGGAATACATGAATCTAAATTCGATCGCGATTTCGATTCGTCGTACTATGGTACGAGTTTCGAGAACGATCTAATTTCCTTATGCGCTGCTAGAATCTGAGCTGGCACTGGCGGAAGCGGAGGCTGACGCTTCCGCGGATGCATCGCTCAAGGATCTCGGGGAAGATCTGGCAGATCCGGAACTAACTCTGCTGCTAGCTCGTGCCAACGCTGAGGATTGGGCTTTGAGTTGAGCGGATCCACCGGCATCACTGGCGAGACCAATGTTGACTCCGTCTTTTGTAGCGATTTGAGCCGTGGCCTTGGCCGCAGCGGAAGCTTGGTCTTGGGCCGTTTCGGAGTCCGTTCTTGAGGATTGCTGACTTTGTAAAGAGGTGACACTCGAGGTGAGCGAAGCAGCAGCCTCGGCTTGAGCTCTGGCAGCGACTTGAGCGGAGGACGCGTCCTCGGCAGCGGAGCTTGCTCTAGCCGCTTGGTTTGCAGAGGCTTCGGCAAGACTGGTCGCCTTGTTGTTGGCGTTGGCGGCATCTGCGGCATCCGCCCTCGCTCGGGCTGCTTTCCTCCTGGTCTCGGCAGCATTGTCGCGAGTGCTGATAGCTGCGGCGAGAGCAGCAGCGGCACCACGGCTAGCCTGTTCCGCGTCACCGTTAGCACGATTCTGCACCGCCAAACTCTCTTCGGAGGCTTGGGTGGACCTCAAACTAGCCGCCACAGCTGCAGACCCGGCACCTGCCGCTTTCTGAGCTGCAGCCTCGGCTGCGTTTGCTGCCGCAACTGCCGCTGATGCCCTGGCGGCTGCACGGGCTTGGGCGTTGGCCGCTGCCCTTGCAGCAGCGGCAGCTTCTCGCGTTCTTGCAGCTGCACGGGCTGCAGCTACTGCGGCAGCCTTCGTTCGAGCTACGGCGGTTGCACGAGTAGCTTGGGCCGAATTTGCATTGCTTGCAGCATTCGCTGCAGTACTGGACAGAGCCGAGGCGATCGCTGCCGCGCTGGCTCCCAAGTTAGGTGCCTTGTTCAAGATCACGTTAGGTGTTCTGCCGCTAGAAGAAGATCTCGCGGACGAACTCGAGGACGCGACCGAGGACGCGCTCGAATACGAGCTCGAGGATGCCTCTGCAGACGATAACGATAACGCTGATGCAGATGAGTCTGAGGACACCGGATTCCCGGCAGCCAAGCCCCAGGTAAGGAGGCACGTTACGAGAATCGAGGGGATCTTCATCTTACACGGAACTTTGTAGCTTTGTGACTACCACCCATCATCCACCGGTTATATACCATGACGCGCAATTGTGAAAACAATCGACGCGATTTTCCTGCTTCTCCAAATATTGCCACTCGCCTTTTCTCTGCCGCTAACGATTCCCCATTGTCATAATAAACGGGGTTTATTTAGCGAAAATATTCACGGGTCTCGATAACAACTGCCATGCAACGCGACACACGCTTCATTCTATCTTCCTCTTCCTATATAATTCTATAATTCATCTATTTTTTTAGAAATCTTGTTCAATTATGTCACAGGTATAATACTTTTGTTATTTTTCAAATGAAAAATAAATCACCCTACGTTCTCGCGTTGTCGTGTTACTTCCAAACTTTCAAATGACGCTGACATGATACAGATTAGTAGTAAAGATCAAAGTCAACCAATCCTTGTCTACATTTTTCCTAAAATCTTTGATAATATAATAACATCATTTTTGACAGATTTGATTAGTCTCGAACGTGTAGCTTTTTCTAAAGATGTTCTAAAATTGTGAAAACAACGCAAATCTGTTTAAATATTATAATCTTGAATGAAAATGTTGAAAACTAAAGAATATATATTTCTTATAACAAATGAGATATTTCTTCTGACAGGCAACTGCAGTCTCGATTCTTTCTAAAAAGATGAATGTACGTGTACAATAAAAACAAAACAATCCTTCTAGTTGCAATAAAATGACGATATATTTATTATACATAAAATTTGCATCTTAAACAGAATCAAATAATGTTTCATTTTGTATAATAACAATTCGTTTAGAATTATTGATTTAAAAACTAAGCATAAAAATGATAGTTAAAAATATAATAAAATATTTATCGCTAAATTTAAAAAAAGGTTTAAAGGATCTGACATAATTTATTAAATGTGTAATTACACACAAATATACTTTTCTCTTTTTATTACATATATTTTATTTGAAACTTTCGCAATGCTACAGTAATATTTACACCGGCCTGAACCGGAGATGTGGCCATACAAGAAACGTTCGAAGATCTCGGAGTGTAAAAAAATAATTTTGCACATAATATTCGTGCTTGATAAAAAATATTATAGTAGAGAACGAAAAAATGTAAACGAATAAGAATATATATGTTTAAGTTTAAGCAGAAACATAAGTTGAAGTAGTATCTTCAATTTTTCATCATCGATTTATATCTAACATTGATCGAGTAAAAGGGTGGGAACATAGGAATAACCATAAACAGAGATATAAATCATTTTTGAGATGATAAAAGACTTTTATTGTTATTATTACAATTTTCGAATCGTTAATGCGTCTATTTTTGCTGTTTCTCGCCATTGCTCTCTATTCTAGGCAAGATCATATCTGGTGGAATCTGCGATATTGCGTGCCATGAAAAAAGATCAGATTTAATTGGACAGCACACAGTTATATCGAAGGTAGGTAGTAGTAAAGTCGTTTGTAGTAATTAATAGCTGTTGCTGTTGGTGCTGCTGCTGCTACTAGCGGATGCCGAGGCTGAGGCCGAAGCGGAAGCGGAAGAGGAAGCTTCGCTGGAAGCATCTGCGGATGACTTGCTGAGACTAGCAACTTGAGCGTTAGCCTCTGCAACGGCAGCGGCTTGTGCAGCGGCTGCGGATGCTGCAGCTTCTGCCCTGGATTCAGCTAAAGCAGCGGCTGCGGATTGCGCAACGTTGGCACGGTCTTGTACTTGAGAGGCAGAAGAAGCCTGAGCGGAGGCCGTTACTTGGGCTGCAACTGCTCTTGTGATAGCTGCTTTGGCACGTGCCGAAGCGAGTACAGCCGAGGCCGCAGCTCTGGTGGTAGCTGCGTTGGCACGGGCCGCGGCGCGAGCTTTAGCGGCAGCTTCGGCTGCTGCGTTTTGCGAGGCGGTGGCTCTCTGGAGGGCTTCCTCGGCGGCAGCGAGAAGGGAGGCTGCAGCTCTGTTGGCGATCAGCGAGTCGGCGTTGGCCCTGACCTGGTTGTTCGAGGCCCTGGCGGCAGCCGTTGCCGAGGCCCAGGCGGCTTCCCTGGCGGCTCTGCTCGCGGCTTTGGCGCGTCTGGAAGCGGCGACGAGAGCTTCCGACGCCGACAAAGCTTGCCGAACCCTGATTACCGCTACATTTTCCGCCCTGACGGCTGCCTCGGCCAACGCGAGAGCCTTCGCGGTTGCCCTATTGGCTGTAGCATCGGCGCTGGCTGCTGCTTGAGCCTGGGCCTCGGCGTTGGCTTGGGCCGACGCAGCGGCTGCACCCAAACCAGCGTCTGTCTCTATCAGCTCCCTGGCTCTCGAGTCAGCCGACGAATCCACCGAGAGTACTATGCTGTCGCTACCTCCTCTACCCCGGGTCCAAGCTTGTACTCTGCTGACATCGCTCGCCGAACTTTCCGAACTTGCCGAACTTGCCGAACTTGCTTCGGCTGAGGACGAACTCGAGGCCGAACTCGAAGACACTGCGGACGATTCGCTGGAGCCGCCGGAGGACCTTTGCGGATCACCATAGGCCGTGGACCCATAGACCCATGCGAGCAGGCAAAGCACGAGTGTCGCTTGTATGTTCATCTTGTACGGTACTTCGCAGATTGATGCCGAATCATATAGGAATACGCGATTATATACCTACAACGCTCGACAACAATTGTACAAACAGTTGCTCCTATCTTTCCTCGTCCTAACACACCAACCAATTTCTTTTTAAATATTTTCTTTCTCCCCCACCGCGCCAATTCAATAGCACCACATACAAATTTTTCCTCTTCCTTTTTACTCTATTCCTCTGTTGTTTCAATCACGATCAGTTTCTTTTATTTGTCACCGTGCACTTGCCACTGTTAGTTAAGAAAATCAAAGCCCACTTGTCGTAAAGCTCACACTTAACAGCTGCTGCATCTCGCAAGCGAATTTTATTACGTGTATATTTTTCTTGTTTTTTTTTTTTTTCTTTTTTTTATTTATCTATTTCTTCGGGCTAAATTTGCACAGCATACACTCGAAAATTATTTTCTTTTTCGTATTGGTACAGTCGATAACGATTATTGTAAATGTTGGGAATGTACACAACGTTTGGACATTGATATTTTATATTGAGTAAATAACAAACTCGAGGAACCATTTGCGAGTAACGTGTATAATAGAAAATGTTTAATACTCTTTATGAAATTATTAAGAATTCGAATGAACGTTAGTTGGCACGCTTAACATTTCATTGTCTCTACTTTTCATCAAAGAAAAGAAATATAAATTATACAGACCTTAATCGAAATAACTAATTCAACAATTCTATTACGAACTGTTGTTATAAATAAATTAACATGTCAAATGAATTCTTTCTTTCGTATTTATACAGCTATAAAAAATATTTGTCAATAATCGAAACAACAAACGGTTCAATCTTGTACGTATAATCGATGAATTTCTTTCGTATTGACTAAAGTAGGATTGAAAAAACATGTTTCATTTAAATCAAATCTTTTATTTGGGTTCAGCACGTTATATTCATACAATATCATAACCTCAAATTTTCTCAATACTTACTTTACAGTATTTGTGCAGACATTATAGCATTTTACTTCTGTCTAGCAACTGATAATTAAAAAAGTTTATGTTCTAAATGAAAAATTCTAAAGGAAAGGCCAAAAATATGTAAAATTAATTGAGAAGTACAAGTAGAAATAAAATACATATATATATTGATTTATTAAAAAATATATATAATACTACGTAGTACAAATAATGAAACTGAATAATATGTATATATATTTTACTAATGTACATGCATTAAAGTCTCCATCCGTATACTTTCTTGAAATCTCTTAATTATTTTTTAAGTACATGTATTACTAATTAAAAAAATGTATACTTACATTATAGTAAGATTATAAACAGTTGTAATTATTAGATACGATCAAAAAAAAATAGATAATTAATCGAAAATCATAATGTAGATAAAGCGGATCGACTATGATCTTTTCTTCTTATTTTTCCTCCAAATAATTTTGAAACGTTTATCGTGAAACGTTTTTTAAACGCAAAGGGAAATGATGATATGCAGAGAGCGTAGAGGGATGATAAAATCATATACATGCTAGATTCAAATTTATTTTTATTACAAGTTGAGAGCAATTTAGACACGATTTCTCATTACTTAGAGATTTTTGTGCAAGGGTTTGCTGGTTAGGCTACCGTGAAATAGATATTTCATCAAAATGGTTTGCTTGGGTGGATGTGGTAGCTTTTATCGTTGAAGTTTCGTCAACTATATGGATGACCAGACATTCTGGTTGGAAGAGGACCAGGAGGACGACGAAGATTCGGCGGAAGCATCAGCGGAGGAATCGACGTAGGCACCGGAGGAGGCATCAGCGGAGGCATCAGCGGAGGCATCAGCGGAGGCATCGGCAGAGGCATCGGCTACTGAAAGAGCTGATGCATCGGCGGAGGCATCGGCAGAGGCATCGGCGGAGGCATCGGCGGAGGCATCGGCGGAGGCATCGGCTACTGAAATAGCTGATGCATCGGCTCCTGAACGACCCGATGCACCGGCTGCGGATCCTGCTTGTGAACTAGCAGCTGCGTTGGCTCCTGCATTGGCGGCCGATGGACGGGAAGAAGAACCAACGGCTGCGCGCGAGGATGAACTGGCGGCTGCGCGCGAGGACGAATCAGCAGCTGAGCCGGAGGATGAACGAGCTTCTGAATCGGCTGACGCACTGGCTGCTGAATCGGCTAATGCGATAGATGCTGAACCGACTTCAGCGGCAGATTCTGCAGATGAGCTGCTCGATGCACTGGCCGATGCAGAACTAGCGGCTGATGCAGAGCTAGCTTGTCTTACGAGCCAGGAAGGTTGTGCACCCCTAGAGCTGCTCCTGGCTGAAGCCTCAGCTTCGGCCATGGCTCGGGCATCGGATGCTTTGGCACGAGAGCTGGAGGCTGCTACGGAGGTGGCAGTTTTCAATCTTGCGTTGGCCTGAGCACTGGCCTCGGCGGCGGCTGCTGCTGCGATTCTCGCGGCGGAAGCTGCGGCTGCGGCAGCTCTGGCTTCGGCTTGCGCTTTAGCTGCAAGGGATCCTGCGTTCGTGGAATCTCTCTCAACTTGAACTGCCCTACGAGCGGCAGCTTCCGCGGCGGCAGCGGCAGCACGAGCTGCGGCAGCTTTGGCACTTGCCTCGGCGGCAGCTGCGGCGAACGCGAGGGCTGCCTTTTTCGTCGATCGAGCCTGAGCGGAGGCTGTCGCTAGAGCAGCAGCTCCAGCATCAGCCGAGTTGGAAGCTTGGGCTGCCTCAGATTTGGAACTGCTTGCAGCAGATTGGGCTTGGAGAGCGGATTTAGCCAAGGCCTGAGCAGCCTCCGCCGTTGCGGTAGCCTGGACGGAAGCCCTTCCTTGTGCGCTAGCTGCCGCGTTGGTAGCCGATGCTGCTGCTGCTGCGGCCGCGCGTGCTCTGGCGTTCTGACTCGCGGAAGCTGTCGCTTGCGCTAACGCTTCCGCTTGGGCAGCATTCGCAGATCTACTCGCTTGCTGGGCCGCTCTGGCACCGGCTGCGACTGATGCGGTTGACGCGGCATTGCTCCTGGCACTGCTCACTAGGTCCAATAAACTTCTGGTCGAACTCCTTTGTTTCGATGATCTACTTTCGGAAGATGCCGAAGCAGAAGCCGCCGCGTTCGCCGAGCTGGAGGATTGTGCTGCTGCGAAGCCACACAGGAAGAGGGTCGTGGCGAGTATCGTTAAGATGTTCATCTTCGATTGTGACTTCGAATATTGATGATCCTTCCTCGCGGTTGCTCGTTATATACCGATTCGTACCCAATTGTCTAAATACCGTGTGGCATCTCTACTTTCAAGCTATATCCACAACTCCAATCCCCTTTGAAAATATTTTTTCAGTTATCTCCGAACACTTGCCGATCCTCCCCCCACTTTTGAAAAACCAATCTACAGACCCTCTTCCCCGAGTCTCACGATTCCTATGTTTCTTAAACTTGATCTTCTTTAGGTATATATGTCCCTCGCATTCAATCTTTGTTTGCTTTTTATTAATGCAGCCTACTCCATTCGAAATATAAACAAGATTCGTTTTTATACGAAACTCTATCGATATTTCGATGATGCTTCGAGTCCGTACTTACGTACGAAGGAATAAACACATTTGCTTTAGTCTACAGGTAACAGTTTTACGAAAGATTCAGATTCAGATTATGTTTTAACTTTGGAATTTCATTCGATTACTTTTCAAGTCGTTGTACATCGTAATATATGAAAGAAATTAACAGATCCTTTTTGCAACGTAAAATATATTTTAATCGCGTCTTCAATTTTTACTTTAAATACAATTTTACAGGCAAAAGTATTTATGTTTCATAAATATTATACTTTGGTCATATGAAACAAGGATGAAAACGATAGATACAGCATTTATCTTCTGTGTGTGACGTTGGCTTTATTAAATAATTTATTATATATATTTTACAACATATGAAATATATCGAGACGGGTTGATATTAATTTATTTTGATCTTATATCATCTTTTTGCTTACGATAGACATTAATGTTAGGCTAGGTAAAAAGATAATGCTCGATTTTATCAGCATATACTCGACGAATGTTTGAGAATAATCTTATTCTACAAAAAAAAATCTTTATTCGTGTATTACACACAAACAATACATATCTGAAATTTCGTTTCGATCACAGAAACTCAAAGAGGAACTGTTGGACTTATAGCGAGAAAATAAACTGAAGAAATAAATAAATAAGTCGTTTTCGGTTTACTATCATTTCAATTTATTATATACGCAGAAGTTCTTTTTTCTTAACAATTGGATTTCATAATGCTCACGTAAAGAGAGCATATATCGTAAGATTTGTAAAGGAATATTGATCAATCTTCGTCATTAATCAAGACAAGGGATTTCAAATGGTTTCTTTGAGGGATAAAAAATCTCGAAGGACGTATGTTGACCGCAAGAATATCCTGAAACGCTGCATTGGCTTCCTCAAGTGCGGCAAGTTCCAAGACATTCGTGTTAATGGCTGTCTTAGAGGCATCGTTTTGATTCAAAACTGCCGTGTATATTTCATCTTTGGTCTTAGCTTGAGCTACAGCAGCCGCTTCGGTATCGTTCGTGGTTCGGTTGACTTTCTGTTTAAGGACGACCGCTTTTTCCTGAACGACATTCCCAGCAGCCGCATTTGCCGCGGCAACTTTGCTAGTTGTCAAAGCCCGCAAGAAACTGTTTCTCTGTGCGATAGCACCAGCTCGGGCAGCGGTCAAGGATTGGATTTGCGAGGCCTGGGCCGCAGCCGCGGATGCAACTGCACGCAAAGATGCCGTCTCCCCGTTCGCAAGCGCTGTTTTAGCAGCTGCTGCTTTTATAGCTGCGGCCGTTTGCAATGTCATAGCTTTTTTCATCTTCTCGGCTGCATCCGCGGCAGCTTTTTCAGCAGCTAAGGATGCTTTCACGTAAGCTTTAGCTTTCGCGATAGCATCGGCATTTGCTTTCGCCGCTTTGTCAGCTTGAATCTTGGCCTCTTCCTTGGCTAATGCTAACACTCGTTTAGCTACCTCCGCTCGTATTCTATCTTCAGCCTCGACCTCGGCCCGAGCTTTCGCTTTGGCCCTGACTCGAGTTGCATCTTCTTCGGCTTGTGCATTGGCTTCGGTTTCTACTTTCACCGTAGACTTTGTTTCGATATCCGCTTCTTTGTCAGCAGTGGCATCAACTTGGACCTTTGATTCTGCCTCTACTTTCCCCTTGGCCGCTTCCAATGATACTTCGTTGTTGCTTTCTGGAACATTATCGTCCTGTAGAACAGGATTAATTTTGCCTGTTGATCCTAATTTGCTTTTTGAACCTACCGATTGTTTCAATACAGCCTTCGCTAAAGTCTCTCCTTTCGATTCTTTCTCTACCAAGTTAGACGAATTCGAGCTAATTGACTTTTGACCATCTCCGGACGACGATCTGTATGAACTCGTTTCAAGGACACTCGCGTTATCGCTAACGCTCGTTGATGGTTCATCAACCAATACTGTTGCTGATGAAGATTCAACTTCTGTAGCCTCAACCAACTGGTGGTTGCTTATGAAACCCCAAAGAAGAAAATATGCCAAGTATATCTTCATCGTGGATGGAACTTCGTACATTGATGATGAATTTCACTCTTACGCCAATTATATACCTCATCGGACAATTGTAAAAACATTCCTGTTTGGAGACTCTTTATATTGCTCTGTTTGTTCTCCAAGATGTCGTCTTTAAGACACGTTTTTATTTTATCTATCTATCTATCCCTCTCCTTCTGTCGAATACATGATTCGCTAATTTATAAAAATTCTTTACTGTGCTAGTAGAAAAAAAAAAGATATTCTTAGGATCCCGGATGAAATCAAATCTTATATTCTATCTCTAGGAATCTTATATTAATTCCAACTGTTTTACATAATTATCATATAGAATATAATGATATACTTTCGAGAAATATTAATGAATAAAGTTTATGAAAAAAATGCAAATTTTAACGAATATATGTTTTTACAAAATTTAACTTATTTCATTATTTATTTCTTTTCTTTTTCTTTTTTTATATTTCGTAGGCTGTATTTGATGGATCGATCACGTGAAACGATAGTAATCAATCTTACTATTAATGTAATACAATATCAAATGAATAATTGTAACTCTGAAAGTGTCGTCGGCGGCGTAAAATTGTATCCTGTTAAAAACAATATCGAGATTTTTCCACCTTTTATATTGAAAGCGAAAATAACCGTAATCATTCCATTCGCCTTACTTATATATGTGCACAGTGTTTATCGTCGTCAAAATACACATGGCACGGGAGTGGGAGTTTGAAATTTCGAAATAGAATATAACAATATAGGAATGAATTTTATTCGGAATAGTAATTAAGTCTTATCGAAGAAAAAATAAGAGCCATATGATACGTGTCACGCCATCGCGAAGAAATTTACTGAAACATTTGTGGATAATAATTTTTTCATACTTTTTTTTATTCTCTCTCTTGACTTCTCACAATCAGAGTGTGGTTGGCCTTTTATTCTCACGAAAAAGATAATATGTCTACAAAATAAAAATACATGGGAATGATTTTCTATTTCAAACTAGTTTCTTATTATTTAAATCAAATAGAAATTGATTATGGATGTAGATCTTTACGTATAATAAAGGAAAACCGTGTAAGCTAATCAATATTGCTTTTAAGAATCAATTTAATCCAATCTTGTTGCGTTTTATCGCATATTTCAAACATTATGATAAACATATCCATGACCACAATCTCGATATTATCTTCTAGTTAGTGAAAGGAGAAATATAAGATTACTTGTGCCATCGAATAGTCTATAACACTATAGTATTTATAAATAGTTACCGTTTTACACACGCTTTCACTATTGATCGTATATATAAATATGTATAAAGTCCATTTTTGAACAAGTAAATAATAATTCGTCATCGTCGTTGATTAGGATTTATCGAGAAACTTGTCGCAGCGTCATTATTCTTTTCAGAATAAATCTTTAATAAAAGTATAATATATAAATTTACGTAAAAGTAAAAGAGAGAATAAATCTATTATGTGTGTAAATAAACGCGAAGCAATAATAAAGATGAAGTTACAGTTTTCAAGTTACAGTTATTCAAATAAAAGTTTAAAGATCAGAAAAACCAAAAAAAAACAATAAAATTTGTAAATAGAAGATAGTAAAATCCAAGAATAGGATGAGTAATAATGACCACTATTACAAAATCTAGTAAAACAAAAGTGTGTTGGTGAAGATAGAGAAATCAACGAAATAATAGTCGAAAGTTTCATCATTTTCTTATATCGTTATCTACATTTTACTATTTTCCATCTAATAGCTATTAATCTTTCTCTAATATAATTGCATTTTAATTTCAATTTTATAGAACACATTTAATTTCTAAATTTGTTAAACTTATTGATATATTTTATTTTTAATAATAATAAAAAAACACGTGAACACGTTTCTTTTACGCGCGTGTTTTTTATATTATTTATTATAATTATTATTATTATTTAAGACAAATGTGAAGGAGGATAATAATTATAAATGTTCGTAAAACGAATGATTTATAATTTTTGAATAATTTTTATTAATCGACGTTCCTTCAATCGTTCCAAACATACTTCTTCGAATTGTATAGAAAATTTTTGTTCAAGTTATTCCGAATTCTGCAAATTTTTTTTTTTTCTTTTGTTTATCTTCAACATTTTAAATATCACATTATTAACAACGACATAATCTCATTATTAACAAAGACAACACTTTAATCTATGCACTTAAATACGATAATTAATTTGTCTAGTGAAGAAGTATTCTTTGGGAATGTGAAGAGCATATACAAATGGTGGTTTTCGATTCGTCAATTATTGACAGATTATAAAATGAACAGTGAAAAGTTTCTTGCTACGTATTTCGCATAGATTATTTACTTATTTTCGATTTTTGGATTCCTATTTTTTTTTATTTTCAGGTCACGCGTATGTTATTAACTGCTCTCATTAAATAATTCATTGAACTCACGCATTTCTCATATACACATATACATTTATACTATGAGCTTAAGAATCATAATGTTCGTACTCTGTCACATTAGAAAAATTTGTTATATATTATATACATCTGATGAGTATGATAGAACTTAAAAAATAATTGTTGTCTAATAATTTAATGTTATATACAGTACATAAAATTTCTTAAACAAAACTACACTGCAGATAATAATTTTACTGAATATATAGGATTTTACATTTCATTTTGATAAATATTACAATATGGATGTGATTACAGATGGAATATAACAGTATGGAATATTTCAATAAGAACATAAATATATCATTTTTAAAGATCTTTCTTTTTTTTTTTTTACCTATTAACAATTCAGAATATTAGTGTTGTTCCCATTGAAATATACCACTATGTATGTAGTATTTTTTATTTGTGAGTTTTCATTTTGAATTTATTTAAAACAATTTTACAAATCTTCAATATCTTTTTTGCAAGGTTGCTGAATTTTCAGAAATGCGTTTGTTGAATCTTTAACAAAGTCATTGTTATGTTTCATATTCATGTTGGTCATTATTTTTTGAAAAATCATTATATTTAAACATTAACTGAAATAACATTCAATAAGCGAAAAAATTAAAAAAAAAATATTAAAATAATAATCACAATAAATAGTAAGGTTAATAGAGGAACGTGTTCTAAGAACGCTTTGTTAAAGTATCTCATTTTACATTTTTCAATAAAATAATACTGTACTTTTTTATATGTTTATTAAATTACTATTAAAACCATGCATAAATTTTAACTAAAATAGAAATTATTATATAATCTTTTAAATTCGTTAGTTTCTCCAATCTTTTTTTGAACAAAAATCCGAAACTGTGAAGAAATACAGGGATTCTTATTTGAATTAAAAATTGCAACAGAGGTATCTTACGAAAAGCATTTGCAAAAGCGTATGCACATTGCGTGCATCGAATAATTTCTTTACTACAATTTCCATAGTTTCTTATTTAAACGAATGTATTGACTATTGTAAAGTATAATTTGTTTGTAAAAATTGGATATTATTATCTTTAATATTATTATTATTAAGATTTCTAAATACTTGTTATCTTAATATAGATACTATTGAGAATCCCTGTTATTTACATTCACATCTTTGTTTTATTTTCTACGGAAAATTTTAAAACTACATTATCTTTGATTTCCAAATATTTATTCCGTTTCTTAAATAATTTTCTCAGCAACCTTGATGACAAATTTTCCTAGTACAGATATTGAAGAATAATTAATTGCTTGACCTATGAGAATCGTTCTGTCCATATACGAACCCGATGATCATCTTGTAAAATAGGATCAAGTATAAGATGATAGCTACTAATACGTCCATTAAATCTGGATCTATCTCTGGCCATTTGTTCCCATGGGCCTTTCCTGGCAGCACGATATGCGTAGTCCCACTTAATCATGGTATGAACAACAGGTTTGAGGTTAAATGTCACCTGCAATTGTATTATATACTAAAATAAACATTATACATTACAGTAATAAGACACGAGTTATAAATAGTTTCGTTTCCTTTTAAGTATTTTTCTGCTACTATATTGCATCAGAAATGACAATGCAACTTAGAATAATTGCATGCTATTTTGGATTATTTGTAATTGATTATCGTGATTGAAATCTTACATTTTCAATACGTTTAAGCAAAATTGAAAACTTGTGAATACGCATAGATAATTTGATTCGTGTTAATATATATTATAATTAAAATTAAAATTAATTACCTTTTTAGTTTTACTAATACAATTGTCTTCATTTGGACTTGTGTCACCGTCACTCTCACTTTCACTACTAAATTCCTCACTATCATCTTTATTTTCATCATTATCATCATCAGAATCATAATCTTCATAATCATCGTAATCATCACCATCGTAAATTTCGGACTCTGGGATACGTTCCTCGTTGTTTGATTCCGTTGAATCGTTGAATATAATCTCGCACGAACTATTAGAATCGATTGAATTATCTGATACTATAGTGGATTCAGTTTTGTTGTCTTCATTAGAACGAAATTCGTTCTTTGGTGTAACGCTGCAGCCGCTGTTTAATATCTCAGAGTTTGTTAAAATCATTTTAGAAGGCACAATTTCTTTGAAACCTGCAATCTTAAAAATATGAGAACAATAATATCCAGAAAAATAATATCCTCTAAATTAATCAGTTAATATAAGCAAAGCATGAAATTTGCTTATACGCTTTAATAGATGCTTACAAGTCTGCCAGGTTCTAGTGCCGCGATTGCGACGAACACGTTCTGAAGTAACTGTAAGTGAATTTTCGTTATTACAAATAATACTACACTTTGAACAAATGACATTATCTTCACTACACGGTATAAATTCAGGTGCATTTTCCAATTCATTTGATAAAGTCTCCATTGTATAATGATTTGCTTCTGGTATAAACATTTTAACTATAACTTTCTTTATTCAGCCATTTTCACTTCTCAGTACACGAAACGAACACAAATACTAAGTATGACTGATATTCACAGTTTGACTAACTCAGTAAAACTAATTCCCCTAGAACGAGCATTTAGTTTTTTTTGGTACCGGAAGTACTCAAGAGAATTAACAATGGAATTGTTTCATACACCTCTAATATGTTTCCTTTACTTTTATCATTTTTTTAAGGGGCTATTTTTATTTTCTCATCTATTTCAAACAATGATTTGTAATTAAAAACAATGATTACGGTAATCACATAAATGCAACAAATTTCCCTAGAAAATTATTTAAATACCGGAAGTGTCGGTAGAAAGTTTGATAACGAAAATAATTGAGATTCTAAATATATTCTCGTCTATTTTTATCATTTGATCTTACAAAATTTCGGAGAAACAAATTCAATAAAAAAAAATGAAAATTGAAAATTAAAAATTAAAATGAAAATACAAATTTAACATTACAAGTTTTATTGCCATTACTTCGTTATAAACACTGCAATAATTTTTGATTAAATGATAAATGAGATATGACTAATATGTATTTTCAGAATGTTTACACATGCATATATATATGCACGCCCAATTTATTTCGTTTTAATTCGACTTATGGTCGAACTGAAAAATAACTGTAACATAATTTTGTAAAATGTTAAATATTTTTATTAGGAAATTATTTTATTTACTTTGAAATCTGGTGTTGCTCGTATTTTATAAAACAATGGACACGAATATTACAATTTCAGGAGAAATGCAAGCTCCACCACTTAAACCTAACATAAGCGGGTAAAGAAATATTTAAAATATATTAAAAATATATTATAATTTTTATACATATTGTGTTTATTATTTATTACCATATTTGTATGGAAACTATGCAACATATTTTAAGTAGAAAGATAATTGAATATAACCTATTTTGTATATTTCTTTTGTATCATTAGATCTAATTTCTTGCAATTACCACAATTTCAACTTAGTAAATTAGAATATCCTCAAGTTCAAGCATGGATCGAACATAGGAAAGCTAATATCAAACCTTGGAGCTTATTTTTAAATACCAATTATTTCCGTTCACCTCCAAGCGTCTCAAGATTAAGTAAACGAATTGTTAAAAATATCGAATACTTTCAGAGCAACTATCTATTTGTATTCATTGGATTATTTATATATTGTTTGTAAGTTTTACCAACAATATTTATAATGTATTAAAATTATTGAGAAAAATGATGTTATTTTTACATCGTATTGTAACATTTGAAATATGAAACGTCATTATTGCAATATTATTTTAGGATTACATCGCCTTTATTACTTATTGCTGTTATGATACCTCTTGGAACTTGTTATAAAATATCCAAACGACATACTAATGAAGGAGGATTGTCTGTTCTCGGTCATAAATTGACTTTAGCTCAATTATATTTGTTAATAGGAATTTGTTCATTGCCTATATTTTATTTGGTTGGAGCTGGAGCAGTTCTTTTTTGGGTACTCGGTAAGATTAAGATAAATTATTATCTGTATTGCTGCTACTTAATATTTACAGTGTGATGCTAAAAAAAAAACAGAATAATTTAAAATATATGTAAATTTATTATAGGTGCATCCTGGTTTTTAATAACACTTCATGCTACTTTTTATAACATTGATTCAGTTTTATGTCCCGGGCAGGAGGAACTTGATGCATTAGTAGTTCAAGAAGTGTGAAGTTATCTTAAATATGAAAATAGTGATTATACTAAACAGGTAAATGTTTTTTATATGAACAAGAATTTTCATATCTTATTCTCATATGAAAATATACAAAAAATATGTTCGTCGTTAAGAAGAAGAAGAAAAAAGAAAAATAAAAGAATTACGAAGCTCAAAACGCTTCCTTATATACTAAATTGTAAATATCCTTTAGGGATATCTATCTATAAGCGCGGAAATTATCAATGTTTTGCACTCAGAGATCTACTTCTAACATTATTATTATTACTACGACTACTACTATTTATTATTGTAATTAGTATTAGTAATAAAAAAATATTATTATATATTTATGAAAGATTAAAAGATATCAGTTCTCTGCCAGGAGTCAGGATCCACCCTAATTGGCACATATTATTATAAGTTTCCAGTGTTTTACTTACCTAATTTATATGGGTAAGTATTACGATGGATTAACTTAAGTCTAAATACAAAAATAAAAATAATGATTTACAAATTTAATTATACTTATGCTAAAATTATTACAAAATTCGTATGAGATTATATATAATCATTATTGTATTACAAGCATCTTACAAAATTGATTTTCGATTTACGTTTAAAATTAAAATCGAAATGTTATAGTCAAACAATGTTCCTTTATGCTTTCTAAACGAACACAAATAAAACAGAAGCAAACTAAATTTATATCATATAAGACATTTTTTTGAATACTACAAAGGCTTGTTACAAGAATTTGGCATTTATGTGTCATTTTTAAGTAGCAAATGCGGTAGTCGTTTTGAAATTACAACGATAATAATATACATGCTATTATACATTCTATTTCAGACTTGCATTCCAATATTTATTTGTGAATAACGATGCGAAATAAATGATGTGTAAAAAACAAAAGGTATATGTATATATAATTTTCTAAATACTCTATATCACAATGCAGGAATTATATACATATATTATATATACATATATATATATAAATATAATATACATATATAAATATAATATATGTATATAATATATTGGAACTGATGCGTATGTAACTATGATGATACTAAATTTATTTATCTCTCATGCTAATGGAAAGAACTTGACAATATTTTTTTCTTACATAGAAAAATTAATTCATTTTTAACAAAAAACACATGGTTAGTAATTATTCTTAAATATCTTATATGAACATATAAAGATACTACAAATATAAGTATGATTAAATATTTTAGATATAGATAAATGTGCCGTATAAACAATAACCTTGGTAAAAAAGTATTATTTTATCAACTTAAAATTTTTCAACCTTTTCTTTGTCCTTTATTATATTTTAATTACATGCATCCAAAAACTGATATAATAGGTCTGAAAGATATAAATTAAAAATACATTAAATATTATCGTTTGATTTTGTTTGTTTGTAAATGAGTTCAATCGGAACCAGAAAAAAATTCTAAATGAATTTTAGTCGTGTAAAGTCTATTATTTTGGATAGGCCATTCTGACGATAGTTAGATATTATGAATTGTCCCGATCATATACAAATAATTAATATTAAATTAATATGTAAGCCTTTTATAAATATTAATACATAAGAAAGAAAGAGAAAGGAGAGAGAGAGAGAGAGAGAGAGAGAGAGAGAGAGAGAGAGANAGCCTTTTATAAATATTAATACATAAGAAAGAAAAAAAAAGAAAAAAAAAAAAAAAAAAAAAAAAAAAAAAAAAAAACACCCAATAGTTCTTTATCATTATGATTCTTAGATTTAACTAGTCGAAGATTAGGCAAGCTTTATTTAAAAAGAGCAACGGTGTTGTTAATGTCAACGAATCATCATGAATAATAAATGTTTTACGAGTTAATATTCAGATAAAACATTTAAATTAATTGTGAACATGCAAAAGAACTATCAATTTATAAAATTGAAATAAATGTAATAATTCATAACACACAAAATAAAAATAAAAATAATGAAAGATAAGATTTATGTACACATCTTTGAAAAATAAGAAAAAATAAGAAAATCAATAATGAAAAAGCAAATTCACACAAAGTCAGCTACTCATTAGTTGTATACAAAAAAAAAGCTATGTTTTAGATAGAACACAGCTTAATTTCAATTAAACTGATACCTTAAGCCCTTGGTAAAATAATGCTACTTAATATCTAATAAAATGAAAGATTTGAGATTATGAAATTTAAATGGAAAAAATATTTTTTAAGTAGGATTCATTTACTGGATTTAAAAACGTTAAGTGCACAGATTTATTTTGCACATAAGTTCGAAAAATGTACAACAATCATAATCAATCATATTATATGTCATATAATGTCGTACCAAATTATTTTCATTAACCATATTATCCAGTAAAAAAGAAAAAAGTGAATATATTCGTAACAATGATAATCAAGAAGAATACAGTTGTGTAATGTGAAATATTACATGTGATTTTGATTTTTTTAAAGATGTTCTGCGAAACAAAAGCTAAGGAAATTTTCTAATAAAATTCTTAGTTTTTGTATAAAAGACACACTTTTTATACCAGTCTTCATCACAGTAAAAAAAGATTAATTATAGTTTCATGCAATTACACACTGCACTTTATATCATTGAAATATTATCATTGAATCAATTGTTACTTATAAATTACACTTAATATTGTTTCTTCTTGTTGATTCCCAAATCCATTTATATTTCTAAACAAGATTTAATAATAATAAATCTATTTTATAAATAAGAATGAAATCAATGTTCTATAATATTACAATGACATGAAAGTTTGAGAGTTGGCTGCTGCTCACCTTTCGAAAGAAACTACAATTAATAGGATATCACAATATTAAGATTAAGATGTTTAACAGAAATATCATTCTGTAGCATCTTTATCTTTTGTTTAACTTTTAATAAAATGTAAAAAGCAATAGATTATATTCAAAAATTAGTATTGCTATTGCTACGATTGACCTTTTTGCCAATAACTCTGTTCGATGTTCTATGTTCTATGCTTGATGCTTTATTCGTTGCAGATCTTAATCTATATCCTCCAGAATTAACTGTGTTATTTATTGCAGCTACGTTAGGAGCAAACGTTTTGATACACTTAGCTGCTTCTTGTAATTGTTTTGATAAAATCTCATTCTTCAACTTTTCAGCATTTAGTTCACGTCGAAGCTGAGCTTTCGTTTTATTTCCATATGGACATAGTACTCTGTGTTGAATAAGAGATATGGCTGATGGCCTCATTTCAGGATTTGGATGAATCATCAACTGCAAAGAATATTAATTATTTCTTTTTAAATAGTACTAATAAGTTTTTATTTTTTCTGCTATTAAAACTCTGATTAATGCTATATTAATTAATTATTAAATATTTACCTTTAGCAAATCATTGAGATCTCTACTATATGCTGGTAATTCTTTCAAATTTCCATTTCGAATATCATGCCATTCGGGACCATTTTTGGGAAGTGGTCCACCACCTCCAGCTTCATATACTGTAAGACCCAAGGCAAAGATATCAGCTTTCGTTAAATGATTAAAATCTTCGTGTAAGATTTCGGTTGGCAAATATCTACAATCGCCTTCTTCCACTTGCGGATTACTAATAGATGTTACGTGGCCTAAATCTCCAATTTTATATGTAATTTCCTCTTCAACTATTTCTTCTTCGTCAAAACCATCATCCGCAGAATCATAATTAACAGCAAGCAACCTTTTTTCCTTAGAAATAAATATATTTCCAGGTTTGATATCCATATGCACTAACTGAACACTGTGTATATATCTTAAACCTTCAGCAACGTGTAATAATAATTGGCGCATTTCTGTTTCAGAAAATTGTTTCTTTTCATTATGCAAGTTTAATATGGCATCCGCCAAACTACCACCATTGCAATATTCATTTTGTATAATCATATGATTATCTTCTGCCCACGCTGAATAATATCGTACAACGTGTTGATGCTTGCCAAGAACAGCGTGGGCATATACTTCGTTTAATGCATTTTTTTCATTGATACTTCCAGCTATAGGTTTAATACTTTTTTTAATAGCATAAACACAACCATCTAATCTATTAATACATTTATAAACAGAACCAAATTCGCCAGTACCAATCAAGCCAAGTTCATGGAACTCTCTATGGTACCTGGGAATGTTGGATTCGTGTAAAGCAACACGTTTAGTTGGTTGTTCTATTTCATTATCAGAATCCTCAGAGTCAGCGAGATCAAACTTATCATTAGGAATGTCTGGGGATCTAAAAAATAAAAAGAAAGCAAAATTAATAACATAATGGGATACAAATCTTAAAGAATAGTGAATAGTTTAATCTGTACCCATTGAGACTGCGTTTTGATCTGCTTCTTTTTCTTGCTGTTATTAACATTCCACTTGGCGTAAAAGGATTAACATTGGCTGCAGGTTTATTTGGTTTACCTTGGTAACTACTAGCTACAGGTCTAGGTTTCTCCAATATGAAAAATCTAGAACATTTGTTAGGAAGCGGAGTATGCGTTGTACTTTTTTCCATCAAAGTTTTAGGTGTAGCTGGTGAATCAAATAATCTCAACGCTCTGACGCGCTTGTATGGAGGGCTACAAGCTAAAGACATTTTTTGTGAACTGCCAGTTTCACGAGATGGAATTTTTATACCAGTAGGTCCTATATACAATTTAAAGTATTAAATATTAGATATCAATATTAAATAATTGATATTTTAATTATTTTCTTATATCAAACTAATTAAATCTAGAACAAGTTCACCTTAATGTTTTGATAGAGACAGACAGACAGACACACACACACACACACACACATATATGATTCCACTAAAAGTTTTATTATATTATTTAATTAATAAATATTAAAAGAAAAAAAAAACAGATTTACATTGCAAGACAAAGCAGAATGCATTTTAAATAGCAACGTTCCATTGATAGTACTCTTTCCAATTACAAATGTACTAATGTTTGTTTATAAATATGTAAAGGGTGTGTTTGTTGTGTTCACATACATTTCCATATACACACACATTATAGATACACACAAATAATTAAATTAAATTTAAATATATATATTTTTTAAATTTCTAACCTGTCACACTAATGGTCGGTATTTTGTTATTATGCGGTATTGTAAAACTATCATTGAGATCACTATCGGGTGAACTATTATAAGCCAATTTTTTCGGTTGTAGCGTAGATAGGGAATATTCTGTCGAGGAATCCAAAACATCTTCGATATCGCAACTTGAATTGTTTCCAATGCTGCTTATATTGAGTTCCTCGTCTTCAATATCACATGCATCAAAATGCAACTTTCGCGCAACTTCCATGACTTTATATTGTCACCATAAGTCTTGTCGTATGCAATTATCTCGTGTGAAGTTAAATTTTCACACCTAAGAACAAACACTAATTCACAATTCTTGACACACGTTGGAATGGCTCATTCAAACGAACTCGTTCGTATAAAGAAGCGTTCGTTATGGCGGGTGGCACAAGCTTGAATACGAGACACGTTATTCGCAATATTACTATTTTTTTTTATTTCATTTTATTTGATCCGTCTACCAATTTTGGTCTTTAGTAAAAAATATTGATTATTAATAAATTTATGTATCACCGTTTACTCATTGATTTAATAATTATATTAACGATAAATTTATATTCAATTTAGATTTACATTTATATTTAGATTCAACAACTACGTTAACAGTGGCCGTCCGCAATTATAACATCTGCTTGTTTTATGAGATTTTTAAATAATCTTTTAAAATATATATATCTAGAGTTATTTTATATAGCATAATATTTAAAAGATTTAATTACCTTTAAAGAAATATAAATAAACGCATATTCTTTATTTTTTAAACGTTTAATGTTAAAGGCAGGATAAGCAAAATGTTCCTAGACTTCCAAAAGTTCCTAGACGATTTAAACTTGTAATTGATTTTCAATAAATCATTTTGTACGTGTTATTCTTTTTTGAGACTTTTTAGGATTCCAGTTAGGATTGCGATTTTATAATTTAAAAAGAAATTAGTTTAATAAGTCTATAGAAATATAGTAACTAGGGTTTTCAATTAATTAGAGAATATCGGGATTAATGGTTTATATATATATATACTAGACGATTCCAATTTACAATAATGCTTGCTGTGTTTAACTATTTTATTTAAATGTAAAATATTTGTTGTTTTGACAAAAATATTTGCACGCAAAAAAATATACGAGTGTTTAAGTGAACCAGAAAATTAACAGATAAATTTTGAAAGATATTAATTAATTAAATCATAGTAATCATAAAAATTTAATTTCATATAATAAAATGAGACAATAAACGAAAAATTATCCATTTGAAAAGTTATATTCCTAGACTTTTTAAAATTAAAATAATGTGGCAACAATGACAGCAACAATGTTTGACAATATAACGGTTTTTTTTAAACGTAGTGTTGATATAATGCAGTCAGATAAAATTAGATTTAACTAAATTATTAATTAAACGAATTTTTATTTTATTCTTAAAATATTCCTATTAAAATGCATGCAAAAAATCTATGTAGTAAAATATATAAAGTTGGAATACAACAAAATAATTGAATTACTTTGATTTTATTCTTTTGCTTTGTTATTCTTATTTTAGTACAGGTCCGATTCTTCGAAAGTAGAGCAGTTATTGGTAACAAAAGTTTGAAGGTTAATACTAATTTATATATATAGTAGGAGGATTATTTTAAATTTTACTTTTAATTAGGGAAAAACAATTTAATTAGTATATATTATTTTAATGGTAACAATATAAATATTCATTTCTTTCTTATGTTAATTATGGAACATTGTAAATTACATTTTTTCATTTTATTATTAATTGATTTTCTCTTATTATCTATTTCTTAGGGTTCTTTTCTATATATCTCAATTATTTCATATTTTTATCTATATAAAAAATAAAAATAATATATGATAAATAATTATAATACTAGAGGTAACTTTCTAAACAAAAAAATACAAGTACACCTAGTTGGGCCACGTTAATTTTTCCAAATTCTGTATACTTGTTAACAGGTAAGATAAAATTAAATATTTTACTTGTGTGTGCACTTAATTTTACTATGTGACAAATTTATTTTGTTTTCTTTATTGAATTTGAAAATATTGGCTAATAATTTATAAAAATGATTGATATTATCTCATTTAATATTAGAACACCTGTTTGTATCTTAGGCTTTAAGGTTATGAAAGTTATAAAATAAACGAATCAGTATGAATAAGACACCAGTATCAATTCTCCAAGAAATGATGGTAAAAAAAAAAATGATACCAAATTATGATTTAATACACGATGGTGGAGGCACGCATGTAAATACTTTCACCTATCGTGTTTCATGCGAAGGTCTTACTGCAACAGGCACAGGACGTAATAAAAAAGATGCTAAACACGAGGCTGCCAAAGCTATGCTTGAAAAAATAGCAGCTCATAGAGCTTATCCGCAGTTACCAGCCTCTCCAGCACAATCCCCTGTAAGATCACCTATATCAACAGTCATACCAGCTTCTCCAAGAATTTCATCATATGATTTCATAAATGCGATAGGTGCTTTGCAGGTATTTACTTATTTTTAATAATTTGATAGATATTAATTATCAAAATCTACATTATATAGTCAATATAAATTTTCTTATATTTCACAGTCAGTGTGTGCAGACAATTGTTTGGAAGAACCAAAATATATTTCTATTAGTGATGAAGGTCCCCCGCATGCAAAAATCTTTACTTACCAATGTATACTTTCGATGTTTAAAGAAAAAGGAGTTGCTACTACAAAGAAACAAGCGAAACATGAGGCAGCTAGAAAAATGTTAAATCGTATAAGAGATCTTGTTGTGATTAATTATCCAGATCTTTTGAATGACGACCACGATGTGGTAAACAGCAATTTCAGTGCAAGTAAAATTTCACAGAAAAAAGTTAATTTAGGCTTTAAGATTTCTGAATATCATCTTGCATTTAAAAAACTTGTTACGTCAATGCACAAAGAAATCTTAGAAGAATTAAAATCGATCAAACCTGATATGAGTAAGAGTGAATTTTCTGACGATATTTTAAAGAGATTACAGACAATTTTAACGTCAGTAGCTATAAATCACAATGTATCATCATTAGCTTCTAACAAGTCAGATATTTGTATAGTTTGCATAGGTCTTGATACTTCTCCATCTATTGTACAATTTGGCATGGGAAAATGTGAAGAAGAAGCTACATTTAAAGCAGCTGTTAAGATCATTAATATTCTTATATTACTTTTAGAATAGTAATTAGTCTATCCATACCTTGCATACATTACCAAAAGACTTGTCACAGATGAAAAATTGATTATTACTAGCCAAAGGGTGTTTTAACCAGTTAACGTAAATAGTTAACGTATACATTGATTTTTTTAAGTTTTTACCCCTTGACATACAAAATATATTATTTTATTTTGTTCATTTTCGTTTAAGTTACGTGAAAACTGAGAAAGAGTATATTTTATTTTGAAATTTGGATTTCTATTAATTTGATTGGAGTTTATTAATTCGTCTAATAAAGCGTTTGACTCGTCAAAGTCTACAGTGGACGAGTCTGACTGTGTCAAGGGGTTAACTTAATAAATGGCTGTGCCGTAATTTTTAATAAAAAATTAATACATATACATTATATTATCTATTTTTTTTTTTATTGACTTGTATAAAATTAATTTCATTATGTATTCTTATTATACAAATAACTTTATTAATTTTTATTCATTTGATGTCACATAACAAAGCTACTCCGCGCAATGTCCAATGACGAGGATTATGATCTGTTTGAAAATCAATAGAACCAACATATTTTTGATCTGTTCTTTGAGGTTTTCTATATATAGGACATTCATAAAGTTTTGGATCCTTTCCTGCTGTAGTATTAATCGCATATATATAAGTAACAGGCATTTGTTCATATAAGACTTTGGGTTTACTTTCTATGAGTTTACCAGCCCTACGATCAAGAGATGCACCCTCCAAAAATAATCCGTATACATAAACTCCTTCTTGAGGTTGTTCTTTAATATCTTCTTTATTAAAACGTGTTATAAGATTTTGTAATACTACTGAGTCTAGGGCCCAACCTTTGTGCGCTCTGGTGACTTCCTAGATTGAAAAATATTGTATTTTTATATAATTATTTTATAATATATATGATTCATTTTTGAATATAATTATTTTTAGGAAAATTAAGAGAGTTGTAATTATTTTTGTATATAGGATCTAATTACTAGATTAATTACATTTCTATTAAATATACATACTTGTCTCATGGCTGTTAAAAATCCTTGAGGATTAAAGAAACCTGTCATCCAAAACACCTTTGATCTCCCATGAATACACCAGTGTCTAAATTGATGATCTCTTTCTAAAAGTTCTGTATACCAAAATCCTAATGTAGCAGATTCCCAAGAAACCTTTAACCACTTTTCTGGTATACGGGCATCATACATAGAATCTAATGATTTACGCAGTCCCTGACTCATAATGATTGTACCTTCTATAGCTAACTTTAGATTCGTTAATGTACTGTAAACTTCTTTGATGACTCTCGAAATTCTTAAAAGATATAATATTTGCATATCATGTATATTTGCATATTATTGAAGGGACATCTAAGGTAAAATTTACCTGTCTATTTCTTGTCTTAAGAAAATATTCATTGGTAATAATGCTCCCATTCTGTGGAGAGCTTCTTTAACTTCAAAAGAATTGTATTGTTTTGGTAATTTGGATAACATATCGTTCGCTAATTTGTAGACTATGGTCTCTCTAGTTTCACCACCTTGCGCACCACCTTCTTTCGGTTGGACACTAAGAATAGTATCCAAAATTCCCTTAGCTGTATTTATTTGATAAGTGATATCTGCATTTGGATGGAGTCCAAATACTTCTGGATTGTCAGTTGTTGGAAGACTGTCGATGTAATCTACGTATGCTTGAAGATTTCGAGTTTGTGGTACTTTGTAGCCACGATAAAATTCGAATCCAGGTCGTAAAAGTACATCGCAGAACCATACGTGCGTGAATGTTGTTAATAAACGTTTGTCAAAATCATCCGTAACTCTACCGCCGTATTGAACCTGTTTTTTTCAAAATTTTACACTGTTAAATAATATATCGTAGATGAGATATTATCAATCTATTATACCTCTCCGAGCATGTAACAAACAGTGGGCCAGGATACACCTTTTTTGGGATCCATATCGTCAAGATGATTTTGAATAAACTGTACAGAGGCTGCGAAATCTGCTTGATTAAATTCGTAAGGTATATTCCAACCGAGCGGACCGAATTTTCTACGTTCCTGTACAACCGTATGCAAAAATGCTACCGCGTATAATAACGGTGGCCACTGAGATTGCGTACTATAATCTAACGTGTCTTGTGTTACATTTTGATAAGTTCTTTTTAAACTAGCTCTGATTCCCTGGGGCGGTTCGTTAGTGAATTTAATTGCCATCTGAAATCGCATCTAAATAATATCCTGTATTTATAATCTAATGTTGGAGTAACGAAATATTTGTTGTTTTTATTATAAACCTGTAGTAAACCAATTGGAAATTGTGGATGCACTTCTGTTGTCATCCATAATCTGAAGGCTTCATGAACGATATCCGTTTCAACGAGTGCATCCATTACTTCTGTGCAGAATGGTAAGGACAAATGAATGTTTTGTAAAAGAACCCAACCACCTGTATTCATTGCATCAGTAATCATTCGGCGTGCATGGAACTCTTGTCCTTGACCCATAGAAACTGATTTTAATTCTAAACAAAAAAAATCAATTAAAAGAGATATATTATTTGAGTCATATTATTTGATTAATATAAATATTCTTACGAATAGATTTTTGTTTAGCTAGTGCAGTAATTTGGGGACTAGGATCCGAACCGATAGACAATAAACAAATTAAGGGGGTTCGAACTTCCGATTCCAACCAAGTTGCTTCCAAATCCAAGATTTTTGCTTCTCCATATTCTTTGCCTAAAGATTCGACGACGTAGTTTTTTGCTTGGGATAAAGTTCTATCCGGACTCCAGGATCTGATAAGTAACAATTTCCTAAATACGTCTAAATTTTTCTGATAATCGCAGGGCAATTCTTCTTCTTCCGGTCTTTCTTTCTCGTACCAAACACGCCATTCCTTCTCGTTAAATTCTATTCTCGTTAAAATATCTTCGAAGCTATTTAATTTACTAATTTCAACTAAATTAAGCCACGTTATGTCGAGAATCCACTTGAATGGTTTTGGTGTCACTGCATTGAGATCCAAAGATGCACCACCTTTTATGAACGCATTGAATTCCATATGAGAAATCTTATCACGATGGCAATCGATTTTCATTGCTAACATTAACGTGAATAATGATTTATGTCGTTCGTACAAACTTCTCAAAGTGAAAGCCCATACTTCGTATGTGAGATATTGTAATATCGTATTTATCCTTTCAACAGTGATAGAACTCTTGACTGATCTCGTTATAGAATTGTCGAATAAAGTTAGAAATTGTTTTAAAGAATTTTGATACATCACGTTGACGTTACTCATTTCTACGATTAAAAAGTATAAAATAGATCCTCTAGATGCAACCGCTCGAAATTCTTCTCGAGCTAACGTAATTTTCTTTTCTGTTAGAGCCGATACTTTTAATTTTTCGTTAACCGATTCTGCTGTCGATTTAGTTTCTTGAAGTACTCCTATCAATTCTTCATCGTCCACCAAAGATCCTTCGGAGGATGTAAGCCTGTGCAGTAAAGTACCTTCGAGTTCTTTCATGGAACGTTGATTCGTCATGACTGATTCAAACAGAGCTACTCTTTCAGCTTCTAAATCAGCTTTTTCCATGAGTATAACACGACCCAATAATTGATCTTCCAGACCCAACATCGTCACAGTAAAATCTATTATCGACGTTTTGGCTGAAATTTCAGGACTGTAAGCAGGATTTGGTAACTTGGTTGTAATGTAAAGCATAAATCCAGGCATCACGTCGCATTCCTTGTCACCGACAATAACTTTTTCTATAGAACCGGATTTGATAAAGTTCTTCTCAAGAACGTTGTCGAGAACAGGATCAAGTTCTTCAGCTACGTCTTCGATCAATAAAGGTCTCCCTAATGATAAACTATCTTCCAGATGCGTACGAAAATATTTGTGATTCAGAGAAGTGATTTGCAATTCATTTGAACATTCTTTGTTTTTAATCCACATTTTACCTTGATTTTGAGGATCCACCAATAAAGGATATGACGAAGATTTTGTAACTATTAATGCGTTTTGTACGGATAGTTCGTCGTTTGGTAAACCTTGAAGTGTCCATTCTGACATAGTTGCTGTATCGACCAACATGTGAGTTATACTCAAATGTTTCGTAAATGGTATTACTTTTGTTGTTAAAATATCCATCCAAGCAATTACTAAGTTACTTCTATATTGTTGGTTGTAAGGACCACAGTATGATAAGAAACCTGTTGCTAACAAAACATCACCAACTAAACGTCCTAATTGCAATTTGAAATCTTTGCTCTGTTCGGTCCATCGAACCTTTTCACCTCCTAATCCATTGATAAGAGTAGTAGCTGCTGTCATTTTTCTTAGGCATACATTTGCAGCATCGGTTAATCTTTGTTTCTCCGAGACCGCAGCATCGTATTGTTCCTTTACAGCTTGCAATGCCATTTCTCTTTCCGACAATTCCCTTTCGGCATTTGCTAAATCCTCCATAGCTACTTTCAATCTTGCTTCTTGTAAAGCTAGATTAGCTTTCAGGGGTAGTACTTCTTTGTTAACCGAATGGAAGAACGACATAGCTTTTGTCCACGATAACAAACCTGCTACATCCCCACAAACTCGTCTGGCTGTTTCCATATTGTAATCTTCCATTTTGAAATAAGGTTGCAATAATTCGACCATCTCGTTGTTGATTATATCTTTCGGATAATTTTGCAATTGCAAGAGAAACGTAGTACTAGCCATTAACTTCAAGGATTCAGCCCACGAAGGTTTCGGACATTGCGTGGAAGGATCTGGTACAACTGAACCTATTTTACGTTGAAACAGAATCAATACGCAATCCATTATTCTCATTATAAGATGAGGTGGCCTTCCTAGTTTTCGAACGGTCGCTATATGAGCAGGTTTGATTGTATTCAAAGCAGCTTCCGCTTCCTCTAAAGCAGGTTTCGCGGCTTCCAGTTTTTCCTCTGCCAATGCTTTTTCTTCGGCTATGCACGCTACTAATTGTTCCGCTTTTTCTTTCACCTTTTGTACCTGATTTTTAAAAGCTTCCGCTTGCGTAGCTCTTTCCGTAACTTCTAGCAAAACCGTTTCAGCTTTTTCCGACGCCTGAACCAATTCCCTTTCCATTAAAGCTAAATCCTTCTTTAAAATTTCGACGGATATAGAAGCTTCCTCGAGTTTAGCTAATCCAGTATCCATTCTTTTTGCACCCTCTCCTAATTCGTGTTGCTTGTTTCTATAAATATTCTTATAACCACCGATAAAATTGAGATAGGATTTCGGTGTTACGTGCGTTGCTCGCCGAAATCGTTGAAAATAATCCATCGAGGTTTTAGCTACGATATCTTGAATAGAACCAAGAGCATTGACGAGTTCGTTTTTAACTTCTTTCGTACAAGCGATTTCAAAGCCATGAAGAAAATGTTTGGCGACCAAAACTAATGCATTTTTAGGCCACGGTTGGAACCAATCGATCGTGCAACCGGATATCAATGCTGGAAATCGTTGAGCTCGGTTTCGAAATTTTTCTCCTACCGGTGAGAAGCAAAAGACAACGTGTAAATTTTGACAAGTCCTTTGCAAAAAAAAATCCATCACTAGCTCGTTGTTGATCGTTCTCTTAGGATTTTCACGTTTCAATATTGGTGTCAATTCTGATATGATCTCTGCTTGTTCGTCGCGAGTAAATAAATTGCTTATTACACCGGAACTCAAAATGTTGTTCAGATATTCTAAAAATCCTTCCTCCTTTATATCCAGATCGGTGAATATAAAGGTAGTACCTTTTCCCTGAGCCCCACAAGATCGATAAAGGAATCTCAAATCCTCCAGAAAGTTTGCCACGTTGTAGGATCTTGTTAACGTTATTTGAAATGTTTTGTATCCAGCTATGAAAGATGATAATTTAGTGAGACTTTGTTTACCCGAACCACCCACTCCCACTAACATGACATTTCCCTTCGGATGTCTTATAACTCGAGAAATTTTTACTAGATGTAACATAGCATCGGGAAAAAATACGAGATCCATCCCAGCACCTCGTTGCATTTCGTTAAATTGTGCTAGAAACATTTCCAACCTGTCTCGTAATACTTGTTCATCGTAAACAGGTTCATACACTTTTGGTAATTCCACATCGGCGTCCTCGTTTTCCTCACCGGTTGGTTCAGGTGCGTCTCTGTAATAGAAATATCAATGTTCGATAAAAATCAAACAAATAATCTTTCGCAATTATAATATTACCTCATAAAATCAACGAACGCTGGATTTGGTTTAGTCATCTCGACGTAATCATCGCCTAAAATATCTTTGACAACCTGAACAACCTCTTCCTCGAACCAATTCTTATCCGATTGCATTGTAAATCTGTCGCTAAAAACTCGCATGCATTCGTGTTTCCAAAGTGACATTAACACGCTTTCTTTATCTATTACAGTGGACAAAGTACCGACCATTCCTTGCCAGATTCGTGACAAATCTCGAAGACTGAAAACGTAATGAAATTTAGCCGGAGTTGGTAACAATTTTGTTCTCGTTCTTTCCCATAGGATTCGAGTCAATGGAACTATTTTTTTAATCAGATTTCTAACTTCGCTAGAGAAACCTCTTTTCGCATTGTAGTGTCCCTCACCGAGTACACTGAAAATACGATCGATCGATTCGTTGTTGGGTAATGTACAATTGAATATTGAAAATTGTCGTTTCAATCTCGAAGGTATGTCATTTCTTCCTCCACCAGGATGACACATAGCAGCAACGAATGTGACGTCAACAATTGTTGTAAAGTCGCCAGGTTTTTCTAAAGAATAAAAACCCTTCATGTCCATGGTTTGTCGTACAATTTCGTTGGTAACTTGATCACCCCATTCGTTTATTTGAGGTAAATTTATGTCGTCCACGAAGATCAACATCTTTTTACCACCCGGTGGTCCAAATGTGTTTCCCATACGTTTTTCCACATAACTTTCTATGGTCTTCTGAAATTGGTACGGACTAGTCGCTGAACTAAAATTAAAGGATCGGTTCAAGGTTGTATCTGGGTTCGCTTTTTTCATATAGGACTTCATCATAACGGTTTTAGCAGATCCTTGTTCACCGATTAATAAAACAGCCTTATCTTGTCGGCCTATCAAATCGATCAGATACTGAATCCGTACATTATCAGGAATTGGTACGAGTACATTACTGTAATCAGGTGTTGAATACTCGGGATATACATAATTCGTTACCATACTGGTCCAAGTATCCCATTTGCCTTTTTCGGTAACGAAAAAATCAAAGACCTTCGCGTCGGGATAATTCTCTGATTTTGGAAGATCCCAAGTTTTAAAGTTTTCTTTCAGAAACACATCGTATTTTATTCTATCGGCTGTTTCCAAAAGTGCACCCATACCCCAGATCAAAGCAAAAATGTAAAGACGTTTTAAATGTTCCGCAGTTATTGGTTGGGATCTATCTCTCTCGTTGTCATCGTCTTCGTCATCTTCCGTAGATATTTCTGGTGGTATTAATCCTTCGAGAATAGAAAGCATTTGTTGAACAATATTACATTGTAAAACATTGATCGCTAATAGAAGCGTTTGAGTTGACCAAGAATATACCTGTGAATAAAATCAAAATTCGTAGAATATTTTTCTAAGAAAATTGTATAACAATTCGTTTATAAAATAAATATACCTGAACAAAAGAATCGGTAAAACATCGTTCTAAAGTTTCTCGTTCGAGTGTTGACCGACGTTTGAGCCATGCCGTAACTACCGGGTTCCAATCTAATCCTGACGAACTCATATAAACCATACCATTACGAGAAACGGTTGCAGGACTAGCATTGTCAATGTCCTGAGGTTCGAAAATAATTTTACAAGTAGGTGCCATTGGCAAACGGTCACCATTCGCAAGCGTCAACGTTTTGTTATCATCTAATACGGAATTTAAATTTTCAATCCATATACTATCAACTGGCCCATCAAGGACCATCCATACGTGTTCGCCTTTTTTCAATTTCAATGTTTTGCGCCAAAGTGCCGAAAATATTCCATCCGTCCAATCATTGGTAGCCACATCCAAACGACCAAACATTTGTGCTGCTGTAATACTCTTTGGATTCATTCTCATTTCTCTGTGAGAAACGTATTATTTGTATAATTTATTTATACTATCTTTATATATGTATTTATTAAATATTATTTGTATTAATTACCTGTGGTAATCACCGGATTGGGTCAAGGCTTTCATCAGAATTTGTATACAGGTTGTCTTTCCAGCACCGGTTGGTCCAAGAGTCATAATCCCATGTCGTACTCTTTGAGTCTCATAAAGTTGAATTAATTTTAATACCCATGGCGGATGATAAATCAAAGAAGCTTCTTCTACCTGTTGATTAATTGCTGTCTCTAATTCCGGATACGAAGTTTTTTCCAATGCTTGATTAGGAAAAAGATCTGCTACCAATGATATAAAAAGTGGCTCGTCTTCGTCTGAAAATAAATTTATCACCGATAGTGCAATTATTTCTGCAGGAATAGTTGTATTCAAAATTCAAAATTAATTATATGAACCTATGAGTTTTGAAAGATTCATATCCCTGAGAACACGCATGACAATGGTGCTTTCCGAATCTTTAGAATTCACTCTTTTTGCTGCACCTAATGTTCTAAGCACCGACAAGATATTTCTTAAACCGAAATCGTAATGAACCTTTTGGGGGGAAAGGAAAAGTATAATTTTAACTTTAAGTATATATATATCAATGATTTATCAAGAAAATTTCGGTAAACACTTACCTGTTTGGTAAGTTGTTCTTCGCACAATTTATAAAGCGTATAAAATTTACGAGCAAGGGTAATATTTTCTAAGAATCCACAGCTGGCCAATTTTACTCGTATAATAATCTGCCTGTCTGGTACCATCATTGCTACAGTACGAAATTGTATTTTTAAATTTTCGGGAAGTTCTTTTCTACCAGCATATCCAGGATTCTAAAAGAACAATATGTTTAGAATAAAATCATGAATAATTTTGTATCACGTTAAAGTGCAATACCATTGTAATAAATATTCCAAGTTCAGGACACATGTCTATTTGATCACCATCGGTGAATACAAATTGCTTTTTCTTTTCTTTCTTAGCAGCTAAGACAACAGCAACTTGTTGAGCAGCTACAGATAAAACTGGTAATTCGATTCTATTGAATTCATCGAAACATCCCCAGGATCCACTTTGAGCCAATCCTTTGTAAATTCGTCCGAGTCCTCTATAATCCATTTGATCGGAACAATTGAATACCACGACGTATTTTGCCAATGTTTTTCCCATATCTTTGACAGTTTCGGTTTTACCAGTTCCTGCAGGTCCACATGGTGAACCCCCCATTGACATAGACAATGCTTGTGCTAATGTAATGTAGCATCTAAAAAATATTAGAATTATCAACAATATTTTATATTGTATCAATAAGTATTTTTATAATTATACACATGAATTTATTTAACAAATAGAACCTGTCTGTTAATGGTGTTATTACCAATCTCTCGGTACACCCTAAATATTCATTTTGATATACAAATTGCACATCCGTTATTGATATCATTGTTTTATCCATATCTTCTTTAAAATAAAATCTGCATTGTTTCAACCATTCAAAATCGTGTACAGAACGTACATTAATGCGACACTGCAATGATATTGTAGAAAAATAAATTACGTTTAATGTTAACGTGATTATACTTACCAATATATCAAAAATATCACGTTGATGTACATGTATAGTGATCAATGTTTCGAATTTGGTTCGATCGATCTTGGATAGATCTCGAGTTGTTTGATCGATCAAGGTATTTAATAAATCTAAAAATTTATTATTTGTTTCGCTCATGATCCTCTTATCTGCGCGTGCTTGTGCTAAAGCTAATTCAGCGTCTCTCGTCCAAATCATTTGAATTCCCAATATTCCTACTTGTGCTGGCATCTTGTTAAGAAAATTTAATAAATCAAAACTTATGTCATTCATCATCGAGTACCCTTGTCGAATGATGGAATGCAAAGATTGTTGAGACGTTTGTAAAAGTTGCATCAACCATGTTTCTACAGAACCTTCGGCTTGAACAGCTTTTTCTAACTGTAAAGTTCAATTCTTCAATATATTGTCAAAGTAATGAAATTATTTAAAAAATGTATGTGTTAGATACTTGCAGTTATAGTTTCACCTTCGGAGGAAACAATTGCAGTCATTTTATTGTATTCAATGTCGTGAAATTTAACATATTTGGTATTATCAAAAATCGACAACAAATGATTTTGTATAGTATGGGAATCCGATGCTTGACCAAGTATCTCCAAAAGTGCTGGATCGGAAACGAAAAAGAATCTTGGAAACATCATGCGCTTTTTTTCCAAGTATCTAAATATAAAAATGATCGATGCATATACATATATATATATATTTTAATATAATAAAACAAAATTATAATAACGTAATATTTACCCGCTAAGAGATTTTTGACAAAGTTCCAATTGTTCTTGCAAATGTGGTAAAAGTTGTTTCAACAAATCATCCCCAACGCAACATGGTACAACGCCAGGAGTTTCGTGAGCCCTTTGCATAATTTTTTGCCAACTCTTATCGATTTTGCTAAACCTTTTAGCCTCTTTGGGTAATTGTTTAGCAATATCACCGCCCACAAATACAGCCTCGAGATAAACCCACATATTTTGAACGAGTAACCATCTTTCAAGGATTTCATTCGTGTTCGAAAGATCTGCAAGCCATTGTTGTATCTGTTTGCGGAATGGTGCGTTGTATCTATTCGACATCAATGAACCCAAAATCATTAAACTATCTTCCAATTGTCCTATAGTTTCCGCGGTGGTGTCCCCACGTAACAATAATTCTCCTCGATTGTTAAAAGTCATGAATGTTAATTCGTGAGAAGACCACTCGTTAACGACCGTTCTTAATTTAGCTTCGATATCCTTTTCTTTCATCGCGCTTATACAAATATCTTCGATATCTTCCTTGTACTTTAACAACGGTGCCTCGAGAATATTTTTCAAACAAAAATTTTCGTTATCCAGATCGAAAGTGTAACTCGTAACTTCGACGATTCTTTGCCAATGACGCGGTTTCATTGCTTTGTTCGCCATTAATTCCAACAACGGGCACATGTCGTTGAAATCGTCTATTGTCTTTTTCAAAGCAAAAAATGCTGGCCATTCTTTTAAACCTTTCGGTAATTTACGACACCGATTTTGAAACTCCATTAATTCGTTGTTGATATCCTCGATATTTACCTATTTTTTTTTTTTTGTAAACGAAAGATAACGTTTATGATTCAAATGAAAGATACAAAATCAATGAATCATTCATTCTTACCTCGCCCCAAGGAATATCGTAATAACTGCTGACTCGATCTATCACGTCGTTATACAATTTATACAATTTTTGCAACAAATTTAATTCCTTACGAATTTGTGTAAGTTCAGGATAATCCGTAATTGGTAATCCGAACAATTCTTCACCGCTTTGATACGTTTGTAACTTTCTCCACATACCGTCAAATCTGTTCTGAAACAGAATTTGTCTGTCTGAAGCGTCGCGAGGACTTAAACCAGGTTGCATCGGTCCAGTTGATCTGTATTCTTCGCAATACATTTCATTATCTATACGGAACTTTTCGAGATTATTTCTCAAATCATTTTCAAACTGTGGTTGAAGATTCAGTAATAAAACATGACTTTCTTGGGCACGTGCCAATAATTGTTGCCAAGTGTATCGAAGATTGTCCACTTGTTCCAAACATTCGGGATCAACTGGAACCTCGTATCTCGTGACTATGTTAAAAGCTTCTTCTATCGGATCAATTTTAAGTTCCATGTCTACTTCCTGTTCACGAATTTTCTTCAAAGTATCCATTATTAAACGTACGTCGTCCAAATCACGTATTTGTCGATCCAATTTACGTTCCATTTCGTTGATCACAGCGTAAACGTATTCCATTTCTCTTCTATATTTCTTTTTCATGGCTTGACCAATTTTGTGAGTGGAACCTGTTATGTGTATTGGAAAATTGTTCAATTACAAATATTATATTTTGTGTCGATAGAATAGACAAAGATTACGAAAAAAAACTTGCTCTTTATTTCGGTGTAGAGTCCATATTTCAATCTTTCCGTAGAAACAGCAATGGATGTACCGATAAAAACCATGTCAGGTTCTGTTATTAAAAAATCTTCTAACTCACCGTGTTTCCTTAAACTATTTTCGAATTCTGATAAAGAAACTTGCAATAGTTCTCTCATACTTCGTTCGTTTTTCCATAAAAATTTATATGGTTCCCATCGTTCGAAAAAATTTGACAAATCCTAGAGAAAAAAGAAAGAAAACAACAAAATTCGTATTTTTTTCTTCCGAATTTTTCTAAATCGATCAAATGATTTACTTGTTTCAATTCTTGAGTACAATTGTTCAACATCGACAATATTTTAACGATGTCTTTATTTTCCGTAACCATTGTATAAAAATTTCTTTCTTGAACGACAAATATCGGTTTCTCTTCGGAAATCATTTTATAAAGTCTGCGTCTTCTAGTTTTCAAATCTTCGGATTGTTCTTCTTTTTTCTTTTTAACGTCTACTTGAACGCGCGTTATTACATCAGCTAAATTCCTTTTAATATCCCATTGCAAATCTTTCCAAGAATTCTATAAGATATTAAACGTTTAATTAAATATAAATAATTATTATACTCCTTTTTTTTTTTTATATATGTTTTAACCTTAGTGCTTTTAACATTCCATTGTGAAACACCTTTCGTAACGCTGGTAATTATTCTTCCAGCAGAACACAAAGTTTCTTGTACGTCGTTCAAAGTTGGTTTTACCGTCACCGTTGGAATCATCAAAGTTGCGTGTAATAGAAACACAGGATTTGGTAGACACTCTATATAGAAACAAACGATAGAAAACTATTCTATGATTATGTTATAAAAAAAAAATTGTATACGTTTTATTCATTTTATGAAAATTATTTACCAGGATCTGTGTTACGAACGAAACGTTTTCTAATTGCATCCAAAGAAGCTTTTGTAACTTTGATCAAAACGTCAACAACTTTTCTCGAATAATATCTTCTCATCTCGGACATCGCATTTCCAACCATTTCTTGCATTCCTTTCGGTAAACTATCACCAATCGTTAATAATTGATGAGGATTATCGAAATAAGCCCAAACGATTGACCAATCGTGTTGCTGAACACCTTGTTCAGCATCTTTTTCTATTTTCTCTTTAAACATAAAATTATTATCGTTATATTTGTTTGAAACAATGTATTAAAAGATTAAAGAAATATATCTAAACCTTCTAAGAAATCGAATTGATCAAAATCGGCGAGCTGTTTGAAATCAGCAGCTGCATTTTTAACCAAACCCAAAACTTCTTCTACAGCTTCTTCCACCATCATACTTTTGCGATACAAATCAATTGCTCCAGTTCTACAAACTTCTTCAGTTTTTTCAATAAATTCTTCTATCGTCCACGGATCGTTGGAATTTGGTAAGGAATGCAAAGTAATTTTTTGCATGCTTTCCAAAACGTGTAGAATTCTACCCAACGAAATGGGGGCCTTATGAAGTATCCAAAAAAGAAAAGGAAAAGAAAAAAAACAAATAATGCAATTACTTTGTTTCATTCTATACCTGTTGGAATACACGTCGTGGATTCTAGTTATGAGTATATCAAAAATTTTGATTTGTTCTCTCGTATTTTGACAAAACTCGTTCCAATTCGGTTGGGTCCATGTTAAATAAGTCAAAGCAGGTTCGAATAATGATGCAACGTGAACCAAATGTGGCAACAAAAGTGGCCTAACTTCTAATTTAACTCGTTTGGCTGTCGTTACGAATTCCTCGATTACCAATTGAAGAGAATTCGCTAGGATCGTGAAATGATCGCGTTTAGCCAATATCGTAAGTGCTACAATGGGAACGTCAAAGTTTAATTTTGCTAAACAATCAGCTTCGCGAAATAAAAGAACGATTCGACTCTCCAAATTGACTTTGATTTTTCCTGTCTTCTGATCTGTCGTTAACAATGGCCTGTTATTCAACAACAATATATAAATCACGATTATTATAATATCTTTCTTTCGTATCCTAGAAATAAAACAATATTACCGTTTTAAACAATCTTCGATAATCCATGAATTTTGATGCGTCCAAACTTCGGAAATGTCTGATCGATATTGGCTTAAAACAATTAGTGCTTGGGTATAACGTTTTTCTAAATCTCCAGCTAATGGCAACGTTTTTAAAACTGGATGACTCGTAACAGAAGCAGTTAATTCGTTTAAATGTACTCTGAAAACGTGTATATGAGAAATAAAGAAAGAGATTTGTAATCTGATAAACGTAATTAGCAATTTAAAACTTTGTTCTATAGTATTTTGTTGATTGGCTCACATTAACGAGTTCGACCAAGTTAATCTTCCAGCTATAGGTGGCATGTGTCTAGGCAACGGTGGATCGTTTCGTTGTTTTTTAAAAAGTTTTACAATTCTTTCGATTTCTCTGTCGCAATACTTGATCACTATGTTATATTTTTCTTCGAGTCTGGTCAATGGAATTTTTTCGCTAACCTTTTTATGTAAGACAAAGGTCATTTTGTTAATGATAAATAAATTGACAAGTTTATTTAACCCTTTCGTTACGATTTACTTTGACGAGAGTATCATTTTATGTTATAGGATTCTTTTGATGTATTAAATTATCCTATATGGAGGGTTGTTAGTAACGAAAGGGTTAAAATAATATTTAACTTTACTACCTTTTCGAATCGTGTTAGGAAACGTATACCTTGCGGTGTTTCCCATACATCTGCATAATTATTTTCTATGATGTCACCAATGTTCTTCTTTAAGTTATCCGTTTTCACCATAAACACGTCATAATCGGTATCGAATTCCAAATTTCTTGGGTCTAAATAATCGTAAGATTTGTTAGTGGCTATTTTTTTGGCCTCTTCGAAAACTTTCATGGCATCCTCTAGAGCTAAAAAAAAAAAGAAAAGTTCAATATTATCGTATCCTTTTACTGATTGATTTTTTATTTACGTACATTCTCCTAACAATAATCCTTCCATTCGTCTCTCGAACAAATTTTGATAATCTTCGATTAGATCAAACATTGTTACGATTTTTCTGATTCTCGCACAAAACGAATCGAATCTTCCGAAAACGTGGGTTTCGGAAAATGAAAATTCTTGTTCTGTCACAGCTGGTGAACATCGTACTAATCTGTACGTTTCTCTGTACGACCTTTTTAACAGGAATATAATATATTCTAAATGAAATAATTACAATTTTATATATATATAAAAAAATATTTTAGAAATAAATAAATATTTGATCGATTACTTGTTCAATTTTAAACAATGTTTTAATCTCGATCTAACGGCCAACCTGTCCTGACCCCAAATAGTTTCTCTTCCTCTTTTGGTAACATAATCACGACAAGCGACTATCATTTGATTCGTAATTTTAATCATCAGTGAACTAGTTCGTTCCGAAGTGTTATAAAATTTCGATACACTGTAGATCAATCTTACTGTTTGCAGTAAAGATATTAAAGAATCTTTCATTTTGACCTATAAACATTTCTAATCAATTTTTATGTTTCCTTATATTATTTTTTTAAGAATGTATTATATTGACCATAGAATTTTTCTTAAAGGATTATTATTATTATCTTACAGGATCGTCTAAGTATAAACAATGACAGCATTTTTCTAAAGCCTGAATAAATTTTGCATTATCTTTTGCCTCGTTGTAACAATAAGTCACTTCGTCTTCTGCGTCTACCCAACTTTTGATGTAATTCGAACGAACAACTTGCAAACAAAGAAGCGACATTCGTACTTCGTGATTCTGTGAAAATGAGAAATAAGTTAATATATATCATAATATTAAATATTAAATGGAAAGGATTGGAGCGCAAAAAATATATCAAAGTGTAACAACCTGTAATCGACAAACAAGTTGACTGAATTGTGCACCTCTTCGTTTCCAATATTCCAATTCTTGTTGCGGCCCGGAATGATCGTTTTCTCTTTTAACTTGTTTACTTTCTGCCATAAAATCTTTCAATTTTTTAATCCAAAATTTGACCCTTTCCTCGACTTTAGTAATGTTACTTGTATCGGACATAAAAACTTTGGCTTCTTCAAAATTATGCACGTTTATCATGAAATTTTCACCGTCGTTGAATATGTTTCCCTCCGATGCTATATCCTCGCATACTATAACAAAATAGTATGTCGTTGGATTTATTTAATATTCATTAACAAACTGTCATACAATTTTTTTTTTAGATACGTCTTGCCCTAGGGGTGTCATGATTTTATTTTAAATAAAACATGGAATTGCACAAAATCTAAAAAAAAACTGATTGATTCCATGACCAATTGCAATGAATCTAAACTTGTAAAGAAAAACTACAGTGAATGGGTTTCAAAATAAAATAAAATATTGTAACCTTTCAATGCACTGCAAAATGATCTGAGACCAGGTAACAAAAGAGTTTTAATCATCGGACAATCATCTTCTCCTTCACCAACGGAATGTGCCAATGCCTCCATAAAAACATTTTCTACGACACGTTGAATCGATGGTATGATACCAATTTTCATAGTATCTATGATACCCGTGTATAAATCTTTTTGAAAACCTTCTTCTGGTAATTGCTTTGAAAGATTAATTCTAATAAAAAAAAGTACATGAGATCAATAATATTATTCAATATAAAAACAAAGGAAACAGTTAAAAAATATAATACCGAAACATATAAATGCAAACTCCTGTGCAAGGCACCTGCCAACCATCGGTCAAAAAAAGTTTCTTTTTCGTAGCTTCCTTTGTTTCTTTTTGCAATTCTTTGACTTTGGATGTCGACGTATTCGGTGCTAATCGTGCACCTGTAGTTTTAGTTTGAACCTGTTAAACCAATATTTATTTATTTATTTTTTTTTAAATAATTTTCAAATTAAATTAAAAAAGAACATTATTAGTTAATCGGTTTTTTTTAAAACACAAAAAAGGAACCGTATCAAGCGGACGAGGAGGTTCAATTTCGACGACTTCTTGATAAAACCATACGAGAGTCGATTTCATATGTGGTAAAAATAATTGATTGATTTCGTCCAACATATCGCCTTCGAAAACGTGATCCATTACTTCGTGACGCGCCAATTGCGTTGCATCCATCAAAAGTTGAAATGCAAATTCCAAACGCGGATCCATTTCTCCTCTTCTCGCTTTTCTTTCGCATTCTTCTTTGCGTTTCTGAAAAAAAAAAAAAAAAAGAAAAAAAATCATATTAGAATGATAATAATAAATATAATCAGAGAATAAATGCATATATTATTATTATTACTTTTATAAATTTTGTACAATAAATATTTAAATCGAGAAGAAAAAAAAGAAAAAAAACTAATATTATTTGCGTTTGAAATTGTGAACCAATTCGACCTGAAGAACGTCACCGGATGATTCATCTTCACTATCATCATCAGAATTATCTGATCCTTCTTGTATCAAACCAGGTCCTTGAACGAACATCTTTTAAACAGGTAAGAAACGACAGGTGATCCTGCTCCTCGAGTATTACTACTAAGAATGGTTTAGCTATTGTGACGACTATACTCGGAAAGTTTTGGGTATAGGCTTGGGTTCGAAGGTACGGGTGGGATAGTATCAGTGCCATTATTTCGTGTCTGGCACCACCCTTCCACTTAGCTAAAAGATATCCTTCGTGTTTTCTATGTGGGAATTTCCTCACGATTTCTATTTTCATAAGTCGATACAAGCAAGCAAAGAATCTTTTCATTGCAGTTCAATTTTTTTTTCTAATTCACAAATAGGTGAGTTTCAAATACTTTCATGTTTTAATTTTCTCATTAAGTAAACAATTGTATTTTTCTAATGTTCTTGTAAATTAATATATTCGCGAGTGATTGAAACAGAAAATAATATATTTTATATAATATATAAAAAACAACGAGATATAAATTATTCATTCTTGAAATATAATTTCAAATCATACAATATAAACGTTTAACCACAATTGCTTTTTATTTACTGTCATATCTTTCGAATATGTAATCACAGACAAACGAAAAAAAACAAAATGCATGATTTATTATTTATCAAAGATCATGCATAAAATCTATTATAATATTAACGTTACGTGTGTCACGATAAATAAATAAATCTAACTGTTGATGTCCTTACGATGCCTTAGTATATAAACCGTACGAATGTTAAAATGCAGGATTTTAATCAAAAGCAAATGCATTATATAAATCGAGGTAATACACGATAAGAATAACTCGGATTAAAGAGTTATCTCTTTCTAAAATCGAATAATACACCCACGCCACATGTTATATGTACTTGGAGCACGTAATATTCTACAGTATTTTCTTTAGGATAACATATGAACGATATTACCTATGTATGCAGGTGTAATTTTCAATAACTATGTATATGTGTTATGTGTATGTATGTATGTATGTATGTATGTTTGTGTCTGTCTGTATTTGGTAACAAGTAAATACACTTGCAAATACTAATATTCCTTTTACACAAATCGTTGCCCTATCTCAATTTTATTATGCTCTTCGTTGCATGCAATCGCACTAAAATTTACCACTTTCTGTTCTTGTTACGAACGGATTGTTATTCGGATAAATGTTCTTGAAGAAATTACGAGTTTCCATTGTTAAAGTTCGTAAAGGCATCTCGTTAAGAAAGTTTAACACTGAAAAAGTTTTGTTTAAACATTTTACGATCAATAATTGTTCATTTAAAACAAAACTTATGCGTATCCTATTTCGTTATTCAATTAGTATACGTCATGCAATAATTCATTTATTTGTAAAATAACTTCAAACAATTATATTTTAAAGAATTATTTAAAAGAAATTATATTTAATTAGAATTTCATTCGATGTTTTTTTATAACTAAGTTTCTTTTTTCTTTTTTTTTTAATTATTCAAGCTTACTCTGGCTTCTTCCGTTGTTTCGTTCATTGTCAAGAATTATATTGTTTCGTTGTTTCTCGATGAAAGATTCGTCAGAACGATGCACGTCCTTATGCAACTTGCACCCGTAATGCGACATTAACTGCGAATCTGAGTCTTACTGCTGGCACCAAACCTCCTTCACCCCCGTTTGTCTTTACTTTCCTCCTCTACCAGTTCTCAATTATCCTCATCCTTCATTCAGTTCAAAACTATAATTAATAAATCAATAAATAGATTAATTAATAAATCGTTTCTTGTTTTTCCAAATTATTTTCTTAAACATTCAAATTTTAGATACAAGTTCGAGAAATTTGTCAAGCTTTTTATATATTTTAAATTATTTAAAAGATTGTCTGATAAAATAAGAAGAAAAAAAAATAATAGAAAAGAAGATAATTACGTAAAGGAGGAATCCATATATTTGTGAAAAAAAATCAGTCGATGTTATCAGATATCAAATGATATTACAGATGACAGAAAATCGTATTTAAATTGGTTTGTTTGATGTTGAAAAATTATTGTAACTGTAAAAAAAAAGACTCGGTGGTGGTTGAAAGCGTATATCGACTTACGTTAAAGTATTGACTAATGTTTGGCTGGTGGTGCGCTGAACTTAGAGCAAGTAGTACCACTCGGTATCAGGACAGACACAATCGAGGGTTTGTTTACAGTGCATTTGTGTAAATCAGATAAGTCATACTTAAAGAAAGATTATGGTATAAAAATTTCATTGCTCAAAATATTATTTGTGAAGAAGAAATTATTTCAATTCATTTATCTCTCTCGAGCTAACTTAAATTTTAAGTTTCGAAAGTTAACGCACAATATAGATGTTATTAGAAAGGAAATAGGGTAAGTAATAGTGGCAAGAAGGGGTGGATTGTTCATTGAGTTAGGTGAATAACAGAGAAAAAAACATATAATTGGATTGGTAGTACGATAAATGAAGTATATGGGAACCCAAAGTTCGTATATGCTCTTCAATAGTGCTCTTAGCTATCTACAGATAAGTTTGCACCAGATGTCTATCTATTCTTCTCAGTGCATCTGTTGCACTGTTCCCGAGGGAACAGAAACTTCGTCGTCTCCGTCTCGGAGATTAGTTGGATACGAAATAAGTTATAAATCGATATTTTAGATAATTCCCTTTTTATGAAATGTGTCAAGTGTTTATGCTTTTTTATTATTCTTTTTTTAAATATTATTTTAAAAAATTGCATGCCCTTTTCTCAATATGTTCAATATCTTCAATATCTTCAATATATTTCTAATTCTAATTCTTCGAATAATAAAAGACCTTTTAAATATATTTCTTTAAATTTAATTTAAATAATTTCTTAATTATTTTAAATTACTATCTTCTATTAATATTCTCTTGTGTTAATTTCAATCACGTAGAATTTATTTACGCAAATATTAATAACATCAATTTATTGATATTTTTATATTAAGACTTTACTTTTCTTTGTCAATAGTTTGATTTATTTTATTGCAAAATAAATGTTAATATTTTCTAGTGCATTACCAAATTAAATTAAACAAAATAAAACAAATAATATTTATTAAAACATTAATTTGTCCTAATATTTCTAATTATTTCTCGTTCTACTTTTTATCATCCGGTGCATTTGTGCAAGATGCATTCTAGTTCCTTCTTTTTCCGCATCGGTATGTTGGCGCTGATTGGCAATGTTTCAATTCATGAATACAGTGTAGCACTCTTAGTATTTATATTTTATAAGGTTTAATTCATTATTAAAGTGATATTAAAAATAAGACTAAATTACTTATAGTTTTCCATCTGTTTTTTAAAAGTGCATTGTGTATTCTTTTTTAATTTATATCTTCTAGTGATATTAATAAAATTATTTGTTCATTATGTTGTTTTTGTTCCTGTATTATTCTAATTGTCTAATGCAGAATAATAAAAAATGGTAAGTTGGATTTGATACATTTTAAATTATCTATTATATAATACTGACATTTTATAATTTATTTAACAAATATATTCAGGAAACACGTTCAACGTTCACGAGAAAAAAAAGATGAAGGATAAAGATAAAGAAAAATAATTGGTAACTGTTGAAAAACATTGTTTTGGTTTAATACAAATAAAACATCAAGCTAGAAGACTGACCAGTTAGAAAATTTACATTTGACTGGAACATGCAAGAAGATCTATCAATTTATTACAACAATGCATTTGGAGAAAGACAACGTGTACAATTTTTTGTATGGGATGATTCAAGGCAAGCTTCAGTATCAAGATTTTGAAAAGGAATGAAAATAAATGTTTCCAGAACGTATCAGAAAATGTTAAACTACATGCAATGTAAGTATGTTAATTTACTTTAGTAATTGGCTTTTAAAAACTAAGGAAGACTGAAAAAGAAGATATGAGAGAAAAGGTTTATAAGTTAATGAAAATCATTTAAAATCATTATCTCTTTGAATTGTATTCTAGATAACTTATATCAAGTTAAGTCAAAAAGATCTTATTCAAAAATGTCTTCATCAAATTTAATCCATTTGTAATCACAGCCTGTATATTAGAAACAAATGATATTCATCATTTGTCTAGTTGATATGTCCGTGTAAAATATATTTGTATATTTATAAATAATACTAAAGTATTTCTTGACTTAAAATATTCTTCTATATATATATATAACGAATTCTTTTCTATAGTCACGCTATTGTTTTAATAAAGTCTTAGAACTATTAATAGTAATTAATTTAAGGCGCCGGTGCTGGCGGTAAAGTATAATCTCCGTCTGTTTTACATTCCTCTTCCCAATTGTCAGGTATCATAGGTTTTAATATTTGTATAAATTCGTTTATAGGACAAATCGTAGCACATCCGGGTATAGTCATCGGATATGGTTCGTAATTGGTCGTATTTCTTAAGAATATCTATTTTAATAAAAACATTTATAATTATATAACATTAACAGTAATAAAGTATCATCATTCAATGGTATTTAAACGATTACCTGAACATTCCAACCATTGGTATCCTCGTGAAGTTCAATCATAATCATAATATTATATTCTGGCATTTGATTATTCCAAATATGTAATACGTCGAGTAAAGTTACAACAGTACTGTCGTGTCCAACGTACATGAACATTTTTCTCGTTTCAGGATGTAAAGTTCTTTCTTTTTTCGCCAACATGTCGTAAATGATTTTTTTAATCATAGGCCCACCTTTAAGTCTTTTAAGCATATCGTTGTAAGTGTTAAGTTGAAAATCGTACATTGTTAATGGTATTAATTTATCGGGATAATATTTTTTAGTCCAATAAGGTAAAGTCAGATTCATTGTTTCCTGAATAACAAAAAAAAAAAGCGATTGTACATTTAACATTAGAAAAAGAAAAAGAAAAAGAAAAATAAAAAGAAAAAGAAAAAGAAAAAGAAAAAGAAGAAGAAAAAGAAAATAATAAAAATAAAGTTAACGGATAGCTTATTAATATTTTGTCGTTTAGAAACCTCTGCTTTTAATGTGCTGTACAACGAGCTAACATCATCGGGTGTTGCAATAGTCATGCCTGTTAAATTACTTAATTCTTCGTAAAGTTGTTCATTTTTATTCTGGACTTCTTGTACTTCGGGTAATCGTAAAATCATATTACGCGTTTGACCGTACTTCGGGCACGTATCCCAAATTAACATAAGCTAAGAAGATTCGATTAAAAATTATTCTTACGTATTTCTATTGATACAAAATGTATATCCCGTAGTATTAATATTTAAACACATGTGTTTTATACCGTATCTTCAGAACGACGTTGATAAAACAAGGTAACAGGTTGCCAAGGAAAATCAGATTTGAACGATTGTTCCTCAGTCGGTTTCCACAATCCAGCTGCTTCTAACATAGCCGACATTTTCGTACGATCTACTGACGTACATTGCAAATAAAATATATCAGGATTATATGTTTGACCGAGAAATTGATTGTAACGTTGCCTTAAGTAGATTCCTTGATTGTACTGATTGACTCGACCTACCTAAATGAAGTACAAATTAAACAATATATATACGAGTATTATTAAATGTGTTTATTAGATAAAAAATATCATTATTATTCTTACGTTAGTTAATTGACCCCAACCATAAGGTTTCATCGTATCCGAAACGTAAGGATCATTTGGATAAGTATCTTGAGGTGCTCGTTCTCCATGACGCATGATCTACAAAAATACGAAATTGATATTATAATATATTTAACACGCGATAATTATCTATGTGTATTATATTATACGATTAATTAAGATATAATTTGTTTTTAGTTTTTTTTTCTCAATATTTTAACAAAATAAAAGCAAGTTGATTTTTTTTTTCTTTTCTTTCTTTTTTTCCTTATCGAGCATGGTTCTATGATAAATTCATTTAATTACATTTCTTACGCAAACGAGGCCACATGTATATATGTAGTAATCGTGAAAAAGAAAAAACCTGTTTCCTTTTACCTTACTGCCAATTCTTATCAGTCCATGATAAATAGATTAAAATGAGATTATACAGTTAGTAATAAAGTCGTGAAATAACTTGAGAGAAAAAAAAAAATAATTATAATAAGAAAGAGACACGAGAAAAAAGAGAGAAAGAGAGAGAGAGAAGAAAAAATATTTTTGTGATTGATTGTAAAAGTAATATTTCATATTTTTCTTTTCTATTTCAACTAGTTAGATCACGCTTATCGTTTAAATAAAACGATAAGTCAAATATGAAGTTGAAAATGTGCTTTTCCTATCTCCAATTTCTTAATCATTCAATGATGATATTATCATGGTTAAACTTACCACTGAAACTAGACGCAAAGTATCTTCGTTAGATTCGTAATTATGTAATGCATCGTTCGTTTTGTGCACATGGTCACTCGTAATAGGAGATTCTGAAATAATTTTACAAAAAAGAGACGACGATGATTATTATTATTATTAATCATTTAATATAAACGTAATTACCGCACAGCGTTAGGAGGAAAATTATTTGAAAAAAAAAAAAAAAAGAAACAAAGAAACAAAGAAAAAGAAAATATCATATAATTTGAATAATCGCGTAAACGTACAATTGAAATATATCTTTTAAAATAACATTCGTTTAAAACTCAACTCGACTAATAAGTTTCTCGTTGTCTTATTATAATTTTGTTTTTTTTTTTGTTTTCTTTTTTCTTCTTCTTTCCTTATTACAAACGATATAGAAAGAAAGAAAAAAAAATAAAACGGACGATAAGTGTAGAAAAAAAAGTAGAAAAAAAGAATTACCCAAAGTTAAGCGTAATTTGATAACGGTCAATAATAATGCGAACAATGACGATGAAGTATTCATGATTAAATAATACGATGAAAATGATGTTAAATAATTTGGCGTTACGATAGAATTTTACTTAAAACGAGTCTACGTTAAAATATAAACTTTGGAGCTACGCGTGCTGTGTGCGCGCCAATTGAAGCTTTGAAACAAGCGCAAGTAGATAAATCGCGCATCCCCACCATATAGAGAATAAGGAATGGCTATAACACGTTAGGAGGAAAGTTTTGTAATAGTATTGACATTGATGAACATAATGTTAATTATTGTTTGATTATTTAAAGAAAAAAAGAAAAAGAAAAAGAAATAAAAACGATATAAGATACATAATATTATATTTAATATCGTCGATAAAATAAAACAGAGATTACCTACAAAAATTCGTGTATTAAAAAATAAATTGCGATACGAGATTATCTTCTAATTATAATTGTGTATATATATATAATCTTTCTTTCTTTTTTTCTTTTTTTTTTTATTTTTTTTATTTTTAGATTATTACAAATATTAACGTATGTTCTCTCTGTTAAATTGTTTTAATATTAAATATTAAGAAAAACGAATATGCGCAATCATATAGGTGGTATACGTGATAAATAATATTTGCCATTTATCATATATATGTTATAATTAAAAATATTTCATTTACGATGATATAAAAGGTCACATTTATATATTGTTATATATATATATATATATCTACACTTGCACTTGTAGATATTGCACGAATAAAAGAACGAAATGATTTTTCTAGTATTGAAGTTAAAGTTATCGTGTTTCGTAGTTAAATCCATCGATGCAAGGTGAAGTTCACGATTTCACATGGAGATTATTTTTATCGATTGAAATAATTACAAGGAATAACAAAACTGATAATAGAACAAAGTTCATCTCAATGATTATTTTTTGATATTAGATAAATGTTCATGATTGTACGTATCTCTCAATGTTATTTCAGATAATATTGAACTTAAAATTAACTAATGTAAATTCAATATCGTAATAAGATTAAATACTTTGCGTCTCTAAGTGATTGTCTAATTATTAACAGAGAGATTTATCAGTATTTTGATAAAAGGTAATAAATATTTCATTAGTACTATCTTTGTATTGTAATTAATTATTTCCAAATCTCAGATAACATTTTTTGAAACACATATGTACATGCATGTACATAAACCTAAGCGTACACATATGATCGTACCTAATGTTCAATATTAATGTTTATATCATTATTCAATGAAATATCCTTGCACATAAATTGTTCGAGATTGAGAGTAATAAATTGTGATGTTACATCGTCGCGACTGTGTAACAAGTCAACACAACTCTAATAACGAGCGTTTACGAACAGACGAATAATGTTTTAACACTCGTAAATACAATTTTCGATCAATTTATTTCACACTTACGTACATCTCGCGTATTTTTTTCTTATGATCGTCAAGGGCAACCGGATAATAAAATTATAATTCATTTGTTATTTATGGTAAAGATCGTGGATTTGTATGTAAATCGTTATTAGCTCCTTTCGGAATACAATCAATCAGTTTCTATTGATTTCTGCTTGACTGGTTTCCTTATTCTAGATTTATACGAAACTTATTTTATTCGGACAGAAAGAGAGAGAAAAAAAGGGAAGAAAGTTTAGAAGCGGAACTTGAACGAGGTTACACATATAATTATAACATTAATTTGAATGTAAAATAAGATAGTAAAGGAAGACGAAATAGATAATTATTTATAACACGTTTCTATGAGATAGTCTAGCTAAATTTTGAGTCAAGGAAAACCGCTTAAGCAGCCGTGGATCGTATTAACGAGAAGAAAAAACCGGTGGTAACCAAACCCCGAAATGTTCGTCACAAAAAAGCAGCGAAAGGAGTAGCGATCGGTGATTCAAAGGTTTATTATATACGTAATCTCTTCATTTTAATATCATTTCTAGATTTTTTTTTGTTCCTTTCTTCAAAACGACTCGTTAAAATATAACAACACTAAATAGTAATAATAATAATAATTCCCGTTTTTCCTTATGATAATGTAATTTCGTTTCCCATGAAATATCATAGACCAAAGTCATGGTAAATTCTTGCAAAGATATGCAAAAATGCGTTGCACCAACTGGGGCAACACAGTCGGGAATTTTACCTGGCTGTTCTATGACAACAATTCAAAATCAAAGTATACCAATAACGCCAATGCGACCACGATCACTTTACACAGCACTCAGTTATCACGCGCAAACCGAGGACACTAACTTTCAAGTACGTATATTCCTACCTACAAGTATTCACTTTCTTCTACTCCCGTTTTTGCTCTTTTTCTTTTTTTCCTTCTTTTACTATATAACATATATCGAAAGCCACATTCTATTCTCCTTTACTCTTTCGTAATCGTCCGAGAACGAACTTTTCAGCGATACAACGAATTGTCCAAGTATTTTGAAACACCACCACCACCAGCCGAACAATGGAACGGTATTACAACGAGTGCAACTAATTATTCGAGTTCAGGTGCTATTTGGAGAAAATCAAGAACACCTAAAACTATTCCAGCACAATTTTATCCGACCGACGAGTCATGCGTTTACCCGGACAATTGGAGAGAACAACATGAAACTGATGTGGGTGGTACTGCAAGAGGTGCACTTACCACACCACACGGTACAATATCTTTGAGACTTAGAAATAGAATTCGAGTCGATATGACTGTCGATCGTGCTGTTAGAGTGATCAACTTTAAGGTGCATTTATATTATTTCTTCTAATCATATTTTTTTTTTTTGGTGTTTGATCTATGAACAATTATACTCTTTCTGATTTAATTTGTAAAAAATATTCGCATGAAACTATTAATACAATTTGTTTTATTTAATTTTTCATCAATGCAGAATAATATCGTGCTTTCGTTAAGCTCTTCTGGATCAGCCTCTGCTTTATTGCATCCGAATGGAAGAATATATCAATATGGGTCGCGTGTTGAAATCCTAGCTCACGATACTAACGGGAATAATAAGTTAGAGATAGATATTTTTGTTTTACAAAATTATGAAAGGAAAAAAGAATCAAGAGACAACTTTTATCTATTCTTATTTCTACCTGTTATAATAGATACGCGAAGATGTGGTACAAGGGTGTCAGTTTTACGTGCGAACAATGTGCTCTTGTATATTTAGTGGATACTGCTGGAACCAGAACTACCACAGATTCGTTTTTGGATATGAGTCAAGTATACAATAAATTAATGATCTTATATATCTTCCGATTATTGTTATACCAATCGTTCATTTTTGGATTATATTATTTTTAGGATTTTTCTCTAAGTGTTTTTTATTCTGGCTCGCGACATGGTTCAACGTGTTTGCAAGAAGCTGCTACGATTCTTGGAGCTTCTCAATATTGGATTACCGATGAAGGTATTGAAAATTGGATCATCAATAATGTTAGGATTTCTCAGACTCCTGATGGACTTGTCAGGTGTGTTATCATTTATATACTTTATCTCCTAATTCTAATATTAATTATAATATATATATATTATTATATGAAGAATTTTTTATTTTAAAGAATTGGACGAAATAGCAACAAGTATCAGTTGAGAACGTCACCCAGCAATGGTACTGCATCCCTGACAACTCCGTTTTTACATTGCACAGCGTCATTGGGTCAAACATCTCATTTATTCGTACGCCGAGGAGAACGGCGCATGCATTACGATGGAACTAGTTTTATTGTACGCAATGCAGGACACAGTGCTGGATTTGACGATAACGATCAATTAAAAGTCTATTGAAATATTTCCAAATATTTCTAAGGTATTGTCATCTATATAATATTATATTTATTAATGAAATATATGACATTAATCAATAATTAAATATATATTTAATGCTTTATGAAATTGGTCAAATATATTTTTCTAATATATAATAATAGAAATATTATTTTATATATATATACGTAGAGTGTATGTGTACGTATAGTGCACGTATGCAATTAATTTAAAATTATAATTATAATTAAACACACACGGTATAATTACATGCAGTATAAAAAAAGATCAAGTAAGTAATGTAACTTATTGCATAAAATTTTTATACGACTATGGTCTACGGTAATAATAAAAAAATAATTAATAATAAATAAAATACAATATAATTAAAATAATTTATCTTTGCCTCCAAAAATAGCGCTACCTGGTAGGAAATTTTGAAAGTTTCGTCTTTTATACAAAATAGTAGTCCAATAGGGGCACCTGCAATGCCGATAAAGCAGAGATTTTTATTATCATTTAATTATAATACAAATCTTTTAATAATAGAATATAAAAATCTAATCTTTGAATATATAATAAAATGCACAAATTTTATGCGAATATGCGTTTCAAGTTCGTTAATATATAATTTCAATTATTATTACACGAATTATGATTAAAATATTAGTAATTATTGACGCCTTAAATGATACTTTGTTATATTTCGTACAAGTTTAATAACGTAAGATTTTAATCGAAAGAGAATACATTAAAATAAATCAAACGACTGCACGATAAGCATAACTCGAATTAAAATGTAATCTATCACTGACATCAAATGATATACTCACGCTACATTTTATATGTATTTATTAGATTGTCCCATACATTTTTTCCGCGCCACGCTATGTATGATTTCGATATAAATAAATAAAAACGCACCTTGATAAATATTTTCTTTAAATAAGTCATCTTTAAACACATATAAAATAAAAATATACTTAAAATTATTTTCTATTTAAAGTATGTTAATAAGTAAGTAATATTTCAACCAGTACATGTATGTTAAAACAAACTGAAATATAAAGAGAGTGTATTAAAGTATTAAAATAATTGTTAATTAATTAATGGAAATGTATATTGTAATCTAAAAATATGTGGATTTACCATTTGATGTATCTTTCTCTACGAAATCTTCTGTTAGATTGACCCGTTGTCATATAAAAAAGTTTTTTCTATTGAATGTTGTTTACATGTACTTTTTAAAAGTTGCGCATGTCTGTAACGAGAATATTATTTGTAACAAATATAATACTTACTCTTGGAGCGCGTAATATCCTTTTTAAATATATATCGTTCAAATAAATAATAAAAAAAAAAAAAAAAACAAATAGGAGAACACACTAAGCGAAAAATATTATTTGTTGATAATTTTTTTTTTCAATATAAAAAATCTGTGGAACAAATGTTATTTTTAATAATGAGACATTTTCCAATTGTTTTAATTATGTAAATCGAAAGTTCTGGCAGTAGTTTATAAAATGTATCGACTAAAACGTTGAAGTATTGACTAATGGGGTTGGCTGTCGTGTCAAACAAGCAAGCAAGCAAGCAAGCAAGCAAGTAAGTAGTACCAGTCCGTGTCAGGACGGACACACTCGAGAGTAGGTCTATGTTTCTATGTTCTATCCGTGTAAAAGCTCGATGTAGAGAAGCGTATTTATACGGAGGATGCGCTACGAGAAAACTGCTTCGTTGCACGACCTACATTCTTTGAATAAAGTCTGGAAAAAAAAGAAAGAAAAAGAAAACAAGAAAAAAAAAAAAAAAAAA